ACTTGGGGCTCTGGCTCCTCTTCCTGTCTTTGTAGAAAAAAATGTTAGCATGCCCAGAAGACACTTCGTAGGCATTCAAAGGAGTCTGTGAACCTTCCTTCCCATATCTAAAATGGTTCTCAGTTCCTTTAACAAATAAAAACTTCTCAAGGGAGACCAGTTATATTTGGTTGTCTGAATATACCTAAATTCTCCTGTAACAACTGATACCCATTGCCATAATATTAACTTCAACCAGAGTTTTCTGGGCCCTTTCCAGGAAAATCTGCTAATGCATTTATTTAATACTGGATAAGTATATAACCTTCTAGTTTAGAAAAAGGTACAGAGATAACTAAAGACTAAGGTAAACTGAAAACAGTCCGAGGGTATTTTCAGCTGTAAGAATCTAAACGTTTAGAGCCTCACTGCTAGCAGTTGTAGGAACTAAGGCTTTTTACTATGGGGTTGATTGAGAAAAGTCAGTTGTCTAATTGGGCGGGAAACTATCCCCAAGCAGGGGTTGGCAAAACTACAGCCTGCTACCTGTTTCTGTAAGGCCCAAGAGGTAAGAATGATTTTTACATGTTGACATGATTGACAAAAATTTCAACAGAAGACTGATATTTTGTGACATATGAAAATTATATGAAGTTCAAATTTCAGTGCCCATAAAGTCGTACTGACCATAGCCACACTCCTCCAGTTATATATTGCCTGTGGTTGCTTTTGTGCTACAAAGGCGGGATTGAGTAGATGAGGCAGGGACTGGGTGGTGCGTATAGTCTGAAACATTGACTCTCTGTTCCTTTACAGAAAAAGTTTACTGACCCTAGCTCCCGAGGATGGCTAACATGCTCTGAGGGACTAAGACCATCTTCCCTGGGTAGAATAAAGTTGCTTTATAGCACTACGGAGTTTTGAACTGGGGCATTAAATGCCAGGTCTCATTAAATGCTAAAATTCAAAGAAGACAAGAATCATTTGTTTAACGTTAATGGCAGTCTTAAAGTGGGATTTTGTATTACATCCTCAGATGCTGTATTTGAACAATTAGAAACTGTGCTTGATACAGAAAAGACTGTTTGGTGGCACTGAAATTTGTTTAAAGATGCCTGACCCAGGACAGGGAAAAGAAAATGGGTCACCAGGTGGATGAAAAGGAACATATGCTTCATCTATCTGAGTATCAGTTGCTGCTTTTTTTTTTTTTTTTTTTTAAAGATTTTATTTATTTATTTGATACAGAGAGAGAAAGTACACAAGCAGGGGGAAAGGGAGAAGTAGGCTCTCCACTGAGCTGGGAAGAGCCCCATGTGGGACTTGATCCCAGGCCCGAGATCATGACCTGAGCTGAAGGCAGATGCTTTACCAACTGAGCCACCCAAGCACCCCTGAGTATCAGCTTCTTAAATGTCTCCATGTCAAGGTAAGATAACTTTATGTGATTAAAGGAGCAGAAAGATCTCTACTAATGGTATCGAAAGTGGCTTGAGGTTTGGATAATGTGGCTTTGCTTCCACAGAGTGCTTGCCATCATGGTTTGTATTCGGTTTACAATTTGGATTGGACCTGAAGCTAGACCTCATGGTTCTACTAGGAGAATGATACGGAGAATGTGACTGACAAACTTTTCTCAGAGATAAGTCAGTTTTTTCTGTCAGAGCAAAATAAAGTTATGGAACCATGCAATTTCCCCAGGTGGTACAAGGTAGACAGTAAAGTCTTCACAATCCCTTCCTATAACACAGTGTCTATGAGGGAAGTAGCACATTGAGCTCACAAGAGAAAAGGACATTATTATAACAGAAAATGTGAAAGGAACTGTAGGCTAGGGGATCCAAGAAAGGGCACTGAAAGCTCTGCCTTGTAAGACTGAGAAGGGCCTTCTGTGAGGAAAGGAAAGGAGAGTTGCGGCTACAGTCTGAAGGAGAAAGCAAAATGGATTAAATGCAGATCCAGCCAGCTCAACATAACAGGGAAACAGGTAGACTAGTAATTCTGGGTGACAGAAATATACCATAGTATCTATACTTTGGAGTTGAGGATAGGCATGAACCAGAAGAAGAGAGGCTGGTTCATTCAGCTAGCTTTCCAGAGGATGTATGTAGCTCTCACAAAAAGAAAAAAGTAAAAATGCAGCTTTCACTTTAGTTCTTCCTAAAGTCTAACTTATCAAGACTTGTAGTCAGAGCAGCAAAAGGGCAAAAATTAGAGATACCCTACATGAGTCCCTAAAATAGTATTCCTTAATTAATCAGACACAACGAGCTCTTGATCTTATTTCATTAAATTTGTTTGATAATCACAGACCCCCTTATGAACAAATTCAGGCCTTTTTTTTCCTAATTATTCCCGGATTTTCAATCCTACTGTTTATTTTACTATATATTTTGCAATTCTCAGTATTTGTATATTAGATCTGTGTCTTTTCTCTCATTTCTTTTTATTCTTCCTGGTTCTGAATTCTAGATGAATTTCTTGAGTTTGTTTTTCTATTTCACTAACTCAGTTTTCAGAAATATCCATTCTACTGTTCACTTACACTTTCAGTTCTAATTTATCAATCTTTTTTTTTTTTTTTTTTTTAAAGATTCTATTTGAGAGAGAGAGAGAAAGCACTTCCGCGCACGCAAGCACAAGAGGGCACAAACAAGGGAGGGGGCAAAGGGAGAGGGAGAAGCAGGCTCCCTGTTCAACAGGGAGCCCACACAGGACTCAGTCCTGGGAGCCATGGATCATGACCTGAGCTGAAGGCAGATGCTTAGCTGACTGAGCCACCCAGGTGCTCCTGTCAATCTTTCTATTTTTTTTCCCAATCTTCTTTCTAATCATCACTACTACAATCCTTTCTGATCTCAAGTTGTTATTATTTCATGACTGATTTAGTTTCACATATGCAAGGTCATGTTGACATCTGAAAATCTTTTCCTGATCTTTACTGCAAATGTAATTTAGAGAGGAATATCTCTTCTGATTCTTCAGTGATCTCCTTCTTCTGATCATAAGTCTTTTTACTTATTGCAGTTACGCAGTCCAGAGAAAAACTGTTGAATTTTTGTTTCCTTCAATGTTCTGTATTTTAAACTTACTAATGGCTAACCAACAACCCCGACTCCTAAGGCAAACACTTTCTGCATTCTGTATCTTTCTTTCATTCTCATATAAACCATCCAATCCTTTCGATTTTATGAAGAAATGTTTCCTAAATCTAGCCTCTGTTCAAGTTCATTGTCCCTGTTTCTAGTCCAGACACATGGTCTCCATCGTTTGCCATCAGTCTCTTAACACTCCAAATCCATCTTCCCAATTTCTGCCAGAGTTCATCCTAAAAGGCATGTTAATAACATTACCTCTTTGGTTAAAAATTTGTTCTCCATATTTATAAGGTAAAATCCAGACACTCTTGGTTATCATACCATATTCTTCATAACGTGACTCTAACCTATAGATACAGCCTATTTTTCCATACTGACTGTTTTACCTTTCAGACACCTCAGCTTTTTAGACTCTGTATATGCATATTCTGATTTTACATTTTTTAAAAGAGAAAGGACAGCCCTCTACTCTCCAGGCGTCCTCGTGAGAGTGACATTGTGGCAATCCCTGACGCACCGCCGTGATGCCCAGGGAAGACAGGGCGACCTGGAAGTCCAACTACTTCCTTAACATCATCCAACTTTTGGATGATTATCTGAAATGCTTCATTGTGGGAGCAGACAGTGTGGGTTCATAGCAGATACAGCAGATCCGCATGTCCCTCCGCGGGAAGGCTGTCGTGCTGATGGGCAAGAACACCATGATGTGCAAGGCCATCCGAGGGCATCTGGAGAACAACCCAGCTCTGGAGAAACTGTTGCCTCCTATCCGGGGGAATGTGGGCTTTGTGTTCACCAAGGAGGACCTCACTGACATCAGGGACATGCTGCTGGCCAATAAGGTGCCAGCTGCCACCCGTGCTGGTGCCATAGCCCCCTGTGAAGTCACTGTGCCAGCCCAGAACGCTGGTCTGGGGCCCGAGAAGACCTCCTTCTTCCAGGCTTTAGGCATCACCACTAAAATCTCCAGAGGCACCACTGAAATCTTGAGTGATGTGCAGTTGATTAAGACCAGAGACAAAGTGGGAGCCAGCGAAGCCACACTGCTGAACATGCTGAACATCTCCCCCTTCTCTTTTGGGCTGATCGTCCAGCAGGTGTTTGACAATGGCAGCATCTACAACCCTGAAGTGCTTGACATCAGAGGAGACTCTGCATTCTTGCTTCCTGGAGGGTGTCCGCAGTGTTGCCAGCATATGTCTGCAGACAGGTTACCCGACTCTTGCTCATCAGTGCCCCATTCTATCATCAGTGGATACAAGGGGTCCTGGCTTTGTCTGCGGAGACTGATTACACCTTCCCACTTGCTGAAAAGGTCAAGGCCTTCTTGGCTGATCCATCTGCGTTTGTGGCTGCTGCCCCTGTGGCTGCTGCCCCCACTTCTGCACCTGTTGCCGCCACGGCCCCAGGCAAGGTTGAAGCAAAGGAGGAGTCGGAGGAGTTGGACGAGGATATGGGATTTGGTCTCTTTGACTAATCACCAAAAAGCAACCAATTCAGCCAAGTTTATTTGTGAAACAAGGAAATAAAGGCTTACTTCTCTTAAAAAAAAAAAAAAGAGAAAGGACAATGACAAGCAAAGAATTCTGTAATTTTCAGCAATCCTACAGTAGGGAGTACAAATAATCCTAAGTATCTAAGGGGAATTTCTGAAGGAAGTAGGTATAAAAACTTGTCTGCAATCATATCTGTGAGAGTCTTTAAAAATATAGATACTCAACACCTACCCAGGTTTGCTCAGTGAATAAGAACCTCCAGAGACTTGCCCTTAAATTCATACTTTTCAAAATCTCCACAGGTGATTCTGCTGCGAGGCCAACTTTCACTGCTTAAAGCCCTAAACCAAAATGCCATCACTAAGAACCTTACATAGCAACTAATTTGTTCCCAGAAGTGAAATAACAAAACTTTCAATAAACTTACCTAAGCGAGTTCATCTCTGTCTTCCGATGAGATGAGTCATCAGCCACATGGCTAAGTTTTTGAGCTTGGAGTTTTGCTTTGTTCTCTAATGACTCTACTGTTTCTTTCATTATTAACACTTTAGACTTTAAATCACATTTTTCATCTTCAAGCTATAATTTAAATTAAAAAAATTAATAGATGTCTCAGTTTTGTCTTCCTTCAGCACTCTTTAATATTTCTAGAGAAAAACTAAAGAAATAAATTATATTTATTTAACAATACTTCAAAAGTCATGTGTACAGTTTAGGTTCTAGATGTCAGAATGGGCATACACATTTATTCCTCCTTATCAATATCAGTGAAATGAAAATAAAGGATACAAAATAAAAAAAAAAACAAGAAAGGAAGAAAAGAACATATCCACAACAGCAGTGAAAAAAGGAAGGGAAACAATTAGTCAACAGAGCAAACATTGTGAAGAATTTCTAAAAAACAGTAAGTACATAGGACTAAAAGAAAAATCAGAGCAGAAAATACTGTAACCCAAACAAAAAATGGGTAAGATTTAGATGAAGAAACAAAAATTTTCCTGAAAGACATAAAACACAACCTGATTTAATGTAAAGACATAACACGTTTCTGAATGGAAACACAATATTGGAAATGTATTAAAAGTTCCTGAAATAATCATAAATTCAATGAAATTTCAGTAAGAATCCTAACAGAACCTTTTTTAAATAAGGAAGGTGGCTCAGAATTCATTCTAAAGTTCATTTAGGAAAAAAAGTTAAGAAAACAGGAAAAATTGTGGGGGATTTATGAAATATTAGAATAAATTACAAGCTACTATTAAACAGTGTGGATTTCACATGAATGAGCAAATTTACACAGATGTAAATTCAGAAAAGGTGGAATTTTAAGGGATGTGGGAAAAGAAAAAGCTCTTTAAAAACAGAGTTGGGACAGTCACTCATTGAAGAAAAAAACCAGATTTCTATTTTATTTTATATACAAAAATAAAATCTAAATGGAATAATGATGTGTATGTACAACTCAAAATCAAGAAATATTTGTGGGGTGCCTGGATGGCTCAGTCGTTAAGTGCCTGCCTTCAGCTCAGGTCATGATCCCAGAGTCCTGGGATCATGCCCCGCATCGGGCTCCCTGCTCAGCGGGAGGCCTGCTTCTCCCTCTTCCACCCCGTCTGCTTGTGCTCCCTCTCTTGCTGTGTCTCTCTCTCTGTCAAATAAATAAATAAATCTTTAAAAAAAAAAAAAAAGAAATATTTGTGTTAAATAGAAGTCTTCCAGTTAAAACTGTAGACTGACTATACACATTTGATCTTCCTTCCCTCTTGAAATGACAGTAAAGGAATAGAAAGTTATACACTCATAAGGACATAGAGAACAAGAAAGAAAACAACAGTGGATAAATGATGTCAATAACTTGTGGAAGACAAAGAGATAGAATAGTGATGCAGAGTGGAAGGATACAATCTAAAGCAAAGCTTCTGAACCTAGGAACTACTGATATTTGGGACCAGATCATCCTTTGCTGTGGGGCGCTGACTTGTGCATTGTGCACTGTAGGATGTTTAGCAGCATCCCAGTCTCTGGAGTAGGCAAGACCCTCTAGTAGAATTTCTAGGTATGAAAAGCACTTTTTCCTCTAGTGTCAACCGCATTCTCCAGGTATTGCCAAATATCTCCTAGGAGGCAAAACTGACCCCAGTTGAAGAACACTGATCTAAAGTGACCACAGTTAGCAATTAGCTGATCTGCCTTGAAGAAACTCAACACAAGCACCAGGTGGTGGGCTGGGGTCAAGAACAGAACAAGGAGACTGGCTGAAAATCTTTACTGGGAGCATCACACCCCAGAGAGCTATCTCTTTCTAGAAAATTCTCCTGGAAACCAAAAATATAAATTTTAAAATAAATCAATAGAAGAGTTAGAAGATAAAGTTATGGAAATCTCCCAGAAAGAACAAAAAATCAAAGAGAAAATAAGGGAAAAAGGATAAGAACCTCAGATCTCTTTGGGAGGTCCAAAACCAACTAATAAAAGTTCCAGAAGGGTGCCTGGCTGGCTCAGTAGGTAGAGCATGTGACTCTTGATCTTGGGGTCATGAATTCAAGCCCCATGCTGAGTGTAGAGCTTACTTAAAAAAAAAAAAAAAAAAGTTCCAGAGAGAGAAAATAGTACAGTAAATTACCCAAGAAATTGAAAATAAGAAGGAGGAAATTCTAAAAGTTTTCAGAAATAAAAACATGTACAAAGGACTAGGATATAGAATAGCATCAGACTTCTCAAAGAAAGTTGAGACAATGGAAGACAGTATTCAAAATTTTTAGGGAAAATAATTTTCTAATCTAGATTCCCATATACCAAGCCAAATCATAAATCAATTATGAAATCTGAATAAAGACATTTTCAGACACGTAGTGTACCAAAAAAATCTCCTCCCATGTACGTTTTTCCAGGAAACCACTGGAGAAGGTGCTATCCCAGAATGAAGGAAAGAAAACACGAGATTCAATACAGGAGAGGGGCAGAGAGAAATTCTTAAGAGGAGGACATAGTCCACAATGGAGCAAGATGCTGGAAAGCTCAAGAAGGGAAGTCTTCAGTGGAAAACAACAGAACTGATAGGTTTGAGCATGTGCTAGAGATACTGGAGTTCTTGACAAAAATTAGCAACGGGTTTAATGAAAACAGAAAAGAAAAAATAAAATGAAACAAAACAAAAGCAATTATTAATTCCAGGAAAAAGATCTGTAAGAGAAAAGGCAAGAGTAGTACTATCTCATTTGGCTGACCCATGGGCCACTAGAAGTAATAATAATATAAACAGTTACTACTAAAGTAAGTGTAATATGTAATAAAACTATGAAGTAATGGAGGAAGAAAAAGGAAAGAGTGCCAAGTCATCATCTAACATCACAGATACTCAAATAATCTTGAATCGATAAAGTAAGGCAAGTAAGACTAAGCAGTTAGAAGCACATTATTTAGAAACAGGGAGGAATTAGAATTGCGGGTAGTAGTTTCGGGGATAAAGAGGTGGGAAATGAAACTGGGTGTTTATTGCATTAAAAATCTTCCAAAATTCCTTGGGTATACCTTGTACAAACAAGAATATATGTATAGTATAAAGAACAACAACAACAAAAGTTACCTGGCTTAAAAATATTACCTATTACCTCAACCTTGAAACTACTGGTGAGCAGTCTCCAATCACCAATCACATCCCCCAAGCCCTGCCACAATAACCATTATCATGAGTCTCGTGTTTCTCATTTCTTACTTTTTTGTTAGTGTACCATATCCGTATGAATCCCTAAATAATATACAGTTTAGGTCTGTATATTTTTGAACTCTACACAAGTAGAATCATACTGCATGTTCTTTGACACTGTATTTATAAGATTCAAGTACACTGATGTTTGCAGCTACTGCACACTCACTTTCACTGCTCTGTAATACTTCACCGTATGAATCATTACCACTATTTCTCTATTTTCCTCATAACTGACATCAAGATTGTTTCTTGTTTTCTACCAGAGAGTTAAATATTTTAGGCTTTGTGAGCCCTGTGGTCTGCTGCCACCACTCCGTCGTAACATAAAAACAGCCACGGGCAATGTGTAACAAATGAACATGGTTGTGTTCCAATAAAAATTTTATTACAAAGACAAACTAGAGGCCAGATTTGGTCTGGGGGCCACAGTTTGCTGACTTCCAACCAGGGTTCTTACCTAGAAATGGATTTGCTGGCTCACAGAATATGCCTTTGCTAGGCAATGCCAAATTATCCTCCAAAGAGGTACCAGTTTGCATTCCCTGACCCTACATGTATTTGCTAAATCTGTGTGTTATAACTTATTAATTTCTTTTTTTAAAATTTTTTAAAAAAGTCATCTGTACACCCAACATGGGGTTGAACCTACAACCCTGAGATCAAGAGTCACATGATCTACTGACTGAGCCAGCCAGGAGCCCCTAACTTTTTAATTTCTGATGCCCTGATGGATATGAAATGTTTTTACTATGGTTTTAATTTGTATTTCCTCTATTATTGATGTAGAACACCTTTTTATGTTTATTAGCCATTTGTAATTTCTTCTGCCATGAAGTGTCAATTCATATCTTCTGTAAGTTTTTTTTTAGGTTAAATGTATAGCAAATCCTCTGTTAGTGGCCTGTTTTTTCAACCTATGACTATTTGATGAACAAAGAAGTTCTTGTCAATATAGTCCTATTTATCTGTTTTCTTTCATTTGTGTTTAGGAGCTTACATTCTGGCAACAGACACTTGCTAGCTGTGTGATGTTAGGCAAACTGTCCCCCTCACCCCCGCCCTCAGTTTCTTTATGTGTGAAATAAAGATAATATTAGCCTTTACTTCATATGATTGTTATCAGAATTAAAATTATATAAAATGTTGAGAAAGTGCCTGACACAAAGTAAATGCTATATGAATTGCTATTATTATTATTTCTCCAAGGTCACAAAGATTTTCTCCTGGACATGGAGCTCAATATGGGGTGTGAACACACGACCTGAGATCAAGACTTGAGCTGAGATCAAGAGCGGACCTTTAACCACTGAGCCACCCAGGTGCCCCATCTCTTGTATTTTCTTTAAAAAATTGTAGCTATTTCTTGAACATTCAAGGTTGCAACTATTTTTGGGTATGGTATATTTGAAGTAGGATGTAATTCCTTCTTAATATAGACATATACATATATATGTGTGTGCGTGTATATATATACACACACATACATACACATGAATAGCCAATTTTCCCAGAAATAATTATTGAATAATCCTTTCTTTTCCCATTATCTGAGTCCTTGATAGATCAAGTTTCCATATATTTGTGGTTTTGTGGGTTTGCGCTCTACTAGATTTTATCATTTTCCTTTAATCCTTGTGAACTACCCCTCTATATTAATTACTAACTCTAAAGCTTTCATACTTGGTAGGCTAAGTTCCACACCATGTTCTTCTTTAAAATTTCTTTGTGATTCTTAGCTCTGTTTCCATGTAAAATTTAAATCCATTGTTAGGGGCACCTGGGTGGTTTAGTCGTTATGAGTCTCCTTCAGCTCAGGTCATGATCTCAGGGTCCTGGGATCCCAGAGCCCGCAACAGGCTCCCTGCTCAGCAGGAAGCCTGCTTCTCCCTCTCCCGCACCCCCTGCTTGTATTCCCTCTCGCTGTCTCTGTCAAATAAATATATAAAATCTTAAAAAAAAATAAATGAATAAAATAAATAAAATCCATTGTTCATTTACACACACACACACACACACACACACCATCTTGGAATTTCAACTGGAACTACATCAATTCTACAGATCAATTTGGGGAGAATTTATATTCTTTTTATAAACATGTCTGTCACCTTTTTTATAAACCTGATATATCTCTTCACTTATTTGGGTCTTCTTTAATGTCTTTCAATAAGGTTGTATTATATTTTCTATTAAGATCCAGCAAATTCATACATAAGTATCTTACATTGCTTATCTCTAGTAAATGGTTTGGATTTTTCTTTTTTTTTCTCTTCTTTGGGATCTGTTAAACTTCCAGCATTCATTGTGCATTTTGAATCTGAGAACTCCTGTTTTTATAAGACCTAGAAAATTATCAGTCATTATCTTTTCAAATACTGCCTCTCTCACACATTCTATTACATTCTCCTAGAATTTTGACAAATATATGTTAGACTTTCTCACTTTATTCTCTAAGGCTTTAACTTATTTTACATTTTCCATATCCTAGTCTCTTTCCAATGACTTCTAGTACTTTAGATATATTTTTTATATTTTTCAGTTCATTAATTCTCACTTTCAGCTTCTGGGCAAGCTGGACCGTTCTACCTGAAATAATTAAAAATTGGACAAGATACATAAAACAATGGTTTTCAAGACACTGAGCATCAGGTAGTGATGGACAGTGACCCCTAAGGGACAAGAAATAAATGAGGTGAGCCCTATGACAGCTCCAGCTTACTGCTTCAAGAATTTCTAGGCTGTGGCACAGGGAAAGGAACTCAGGTGAAGCCTGGTGGTTCCCCTAAGTTCAGAAGACACGACTGAAAGTCAAGGGAGGCCAAGGCAGTTAGGGTTTGCAGAGCAGACACTGGAGGAGAGCTACACAGACAGAGCTCCAGAGATCTATAAAAGGTGCCCCTTGAGTGTTCAGCTGAGCAGAGCTCAGCACAGAGGAAGTTACCCAAGGCCAGAGAAAGAACCATCAAAAAGTTAAAGGGAATAATACTCAGGGCTCATGTAGGCCAGGAGTAACTACTGTTCCCATCAGTCATTTGAAAACCTCATAATTCATAGGGCAATAGATAGCATACTCAAAACAGTTTTGTCCCAGTAATGAAACAAAATTAGTCCAGGACTAAATGCTACTCTGGTCCCACCTAATGAAGCTTAAAAGCAAAACTGAAAGGGCTCAAGCTACTTCCATCTGACTTAACTGTCCCAGAACAAACCTCAAGAGTATTTATAGGGATACAAGCCATCCAGCAACCAAGAAGATAAAACTCACAATGTCTGACATCTAAAATTACTAGGCACGCAGAGAATCAGGAAAATATAACCGATGAGGAGGAGGAAAAAAAAAAAATCAACTGACTCAAAGTTGATAGAAACAGATGATAGCATATGTAGACGTAAATAAAAGCAGTGAAGACATAGTAAAGGAAACTAGTTAAATGAAACACCAAGGAAAAAAAAGGATTCAGAACACATAACAATTTGATTACAAAATTCTATCTCTAGAGAGAGCAATAAGGAATGAAAATGAATTTCATTTTTTCCACTATGTCTGTATTATGATTTTTTTAACAAGAACAAAACAACAATAATCATAACTAACACCTACTGAGTGCCTACAACATGCCAGCAACTCTTCTAAGTTCTTGACATGTACTAACTTGTTTAATCGTCACAAAAACTTTAGAAGTACTACCACCATTCCATTTTACATTTTACAAATAAAGAAACCGAGGGATAGGAAGTTTGAGTAGCCTGTCTACAGGTAATAGGTGACAGAGAAGGATATGAACGCACGTAGTCGACCTTCAGAGTATGTACTCCTAACCAGCATCTCTAGCATACTATTTTGTAATTTTAAAAACATAGAGCATATTGAAACTATAATTGAAATTCATATAACATAATTTACCCCAAATCTAGTTTGATAAATTACCTGATGGTTAATACATGTCAAATGTTCAATAGTTTTCTCTAATTTTGATTTTTCAAAAATACTCATTTCCTGGAGATCCTGAAAAAGAATTTTATGGAAGATGTTTATTCACAGCAGATAACAAAACAAAATTAGCAAAGTAAGCAACACAAGTCTACAGATTTATTCTATTTGTCTTTTTAATAACATGGAAATGATTTAGAAAGAAAATCATTAGACATTTTATGATAATGATGCTTTTGGTTAAAAAAAAAAAGGGACAAGAGTTTCTTATCCTTTATATACAACTTCCATGTGCAATTGTAATAGAAGACACAGAATGGCATGGATTTGTTTTTAAAGATTTATACAGGTCAATCCATTAGTACAAATATAAAAGGAAAAAGCAGCAGGTTAAGTCTGATCAGGAGTACGCCCTCATGAGAAGTGAGAGGAGCACAGGGCAAAGAAGAAATGAGGTCACAAAGACACAGGAAAGACTACTACAGGGCCATGCAAGAGATGAGAATTTCAAGAATAGGCTGGTCAACAGTGTAAACACAAGCACTATTTCTTTGGTTAGGTTACCTTATCCAACTCTTGCTGATGCTAAGTGTAGGACAAATGATATAAGCTAGTATTCCCTGAGAATTTTTCTAGTGCAGATTCATACTTCTATCCATGTTACTCATTAAAAACAAATCAATTAAGACACCTGGACACTTGAATTATATATCTGGTTGGAAGGGTCACTGTGCTATATGCATTTTTTATTAGATCATTCAACCAGTATTGAGTACATACTACATATCAAGCACCCAGCAAGGTGTTAGGAAAACATAGTGAGTAAAATGGATAAAGCCTCTGACATCACAGTTACTAAAGCCTAGTAGAAAAGACAAACCTTAAACAAGATACCATAATAAAACCATGAATATTCTGCTAGAAAAAATGAACTTTATGGCAACATACTGAAGGGAATCTAGAGTCTTGGGTTCATTGCTTGTGTGAGGAAACGATGTTTAACCTGGCTCTAAAGGATGTATAGGAATTAGCCAGGTGAAAGTACTGTAAGGGGTAAAAGATTTTTCAATAGCCTATGCAGAAAATTGGGGGTAAGAAAAAGTCCATTAAGCTTGGAGTTGAGAAAATGAGATGTGGGAAATGGGGGAGATGAGTTTGGGGAAAAGAAGATAGACCTTGAAGTAGGCAAAAGCCAATCACTGAAGTCTTTGAAAACAGTTCATATATATATATATATATATTTAAAGATTTATTTGTGTGAGACAGAGAGAGAGAGCACAAGCAGGGGGAGCGGCAGGCAGAGGGAGAGGGGGAAGCAGGCTTCCCGCTGAGCAGGGAGCCCGATGTGGGACTTGATCCCAGGACGCTGGGATCATGACCTGAGCTGAAGGCAGACGCTTAACCGACTAAGCTACCCAAGCGTCCCCAGTTGATAGATTTTAAATCTGATCAGATTTATCTCTCTGAAAGATAGACTCTGCCTTTGGTGTAAAATACAGATTTGAGAGGCTGCTGATACACTAATGCAGTTGGGAGAAAATAATGGCCAGAATGGGATGGCAGCAGGGGAACAGAAAAAAGTACACAGAGTCGAGAGAAACTAACGTAAGCTCAGGAGTCAGACTCCATCTGACTTCACCGTTAGGTGATCTTGGGCAGATTATTTAAACTATGTAACTCAAAGACCACATCTGTAAGCATTAGCTATCTGAAAAGGTAATTGTGAAGATTTACTGAGATAGCCCATGTAAAAAGCACTTAGAACAGAGCCTCCCACATGAAAAGACCTCAGTAAGTGTTAAATATTATTTAAGAGGTAGCACACATAGGACTTGGTGATTAGTTGAGAGAAAAGAGCTTTACAGGAGAGAGGAGCAGTGATGATGCCTGGTTTGACAACTGGGTAGGTAGATAGCTGAATAACAGGAAACTACTAGAGGAGGCTTTAGGATTGAGATGATTAATTTAGTTTTTAAGTAAAAGACCTACTGTAAACTCATAAATCTTGCCTTCTACAATCTAGAAAGATTCTGGTAATAGGAATTTCACTTTTTCTGAGCTTTCAGTATTACTGCATTTTAAAATCCTGTTTCTACAGTCCTTGGCCCTTTCAACAAATATGGAAAAGAATAAATCAGAAGCTTGTGCCAAACGCTGCCATATTGCACAGAAATTTTCCATTTGGTAATTTTAACACTTATTTTTATAAGAAAGCACATTCTGCAGGGCAGTATTCCAAAAGAACCCAATTAAAAATATTCTGGGGTAAAATTTCAACTGAAAATGTATGACATAAAGACTACCCTTATAATGCTTAAATATTCTTATTCCTAACTTGAGCTGCTAATTTCTAAGTATTAATTCAATAATACTTATTGGAAGCAAACTATGAATCCAAAATAGTAACAGTAATAGCTAACGTTGAGTTCTTATAATGTTCCAGGCACTATTAAGTGCTTTATGTACATTCACATATTTTTTTGGAGATTATAAAAGAAAGTATAAGATATTGCCGCTAAATAGCACACCAAAAGCACAAGAGACAAAAGAAAAAAATACATAAACTGGACTTGATCAAAATTAAAAACTCTTGTGCTTTAAAGGACTCCATTAAGAAAATGAAAAGGCAACCCACAGAATGGGGGCAAGTACTTGTAAATCATGTATCTGATAAGGAGCTTGTATCAAGAATATATAAAATACTCTTACAGTTCAGTAACAATGAGGCAATAACCCAATGTAAATATGGGCAAAGGATCTGAATAGACATTTCTCCAAAGAAGATACACAAATGGCCAAATAAGCACATGAATAGATGCCCGATGTCATTAGCCCTCAAGGAAATGCAAATCAAGACCACAGTGGATACTACTTCATACCCACCAGCATGATGATAACAAAGAAGACAGATAATAACAAGTGTTGGTGAGGATGTGGAGAACCTAGAACTCTTATACACTGCCGGTGAGAATATAAATGGTACAGCTGATTTGGAAAACAGCCTGGCAGTTGCTCAAATGGCTACAGTTATCATATGAATCTAGGTATATACCCAAGATAAATGAAAACCTACATCAACAAAAAGTTGTACATGAATGTTCACAGCATCATTTTTCGTAACAAAAAGTAAAAACCACATAAATGAAAATTAAAATGTTTTCTATCTATCCATAGAATGGAATATTATTCTACAATAAAAAGGAATAAAGTATTGATACATACTACATGAATGAACTTGAAAACATTATGCAAAGTGAGAGAAGCCAAGAGATAAAAAACTACACACTAAGTGTTTCAATTATATGAAATGTTCAAAGTAGGCAAATCTGTAGAGACAGAAAGTAGTTTCGTGGTTGCCTAGGCCTGAGGAGGCTAGGGTGAAATGGAGAACCACTGCTAAGGGGTTTCAGGGTCTCTTTTCGAGGTAATGAAAATGCTCTAAAATTGACTGTGGTGGTAGGCTGAACAGGTCTATGAATATATTAAAAAGCACTGAACTGTACACTATAAATGGGTGAACTGAATGTTATGTGAATAACTCAGTCAAGTCGTTTTACATTTAAAAAAAAAAGATAATGTCCTTCCACATGACGAAGGAACCTATTGAGATCAGAGGTCAGTAATTTTCTCTAAAGAACCAGATAATAAGTATTTTAGGATTTGTGGGCCACTTTCTGCTGCAAATAGTCAATTCTGCCACTGCAGCACGACAGAAGCCACACAGAAAACTATGGTCCACAAATGAGCATGGTATTCCAATAACACTGACCGAAGATGCAACCTGAATTTCACAGTTTTCATGTGTCATGAAATACTCTCCTTTATTTTTCAATGACTTAAAATGTAAAAACCATTTTTAGCACATGGTCATACAAAAACACAATGGTCTAGATTTGGTTCATGTGTCATTGTTTGCCAACCTCTTGATCTAGCTGTACATCCTAAATAAGTCACTTCACAGGAAAACATAAAGGCCTCCCTTTTCCCTATAAATTACCTTTCAAAAATAAGTCAATCTTATTACTTACTTTTAACTTTTCTTTTAAAGCTTCTTTTTCTGACATAATCCTTCTTAAGTCAGATAATGCAAGTTCTTTTTCTTTTTCCATAAGACTCACAATATTATGGGAGAGTGTGGTTTTGGTAGACTCTTGTCTTAGTGCACATAACTGTTCCTGAGCCTTAAAGAATTAAAAGATATAAATAAAAACCACTTTGGATATGCTCCAAAGGTTAAAAAAAAAAAAAAGGCAAACTAAACACATACTACCTTTGCTCTCTTCCCAAATCCCAACAAAATGAGTAAAAGGATTAAAACAACAACAAAATCCCAAAAGACAAGGAGATTGAGGGGAAACGCCAGCTACAAAATTTTGGAAACCAGACAGCAGATGAACAATGAGTAATTAACTAAGCAGACTCGAGAAAGCTGAAATCCAAGTCAATAGTGGGGAAAGCCCAGAAATGAATCAATTTGCAAATGCAGATTCCAAGAAAAATCTCCAAAAGTAAGAACAGCTTTTTCAACTTGACCTTTTAACTTACATGTCCTTCTCCCTCTCTCAAAGTAGCATGAGAGCCTCATGGGAAATTGGTATGGAACAAATTTAGACACTCTGCTGTGTTTATATTCACCTTGCTCTCTGACAACTGAGGCTTTGAAACTGGGCCAAGCTGTATCAATTCTCAAATTACAGGCTAAGTCCTTAATATCCAGTATCTCCAAATCGTGGGCGCTACCCACTGTTTGATAGACTCCTAACATGTCTGAATCCCAAGGATAAACTTGGCTCAGAGTAGGCTAAGACCTGTTTCAGGTAGCTTTAGAAGTAGGAGATTATTTCTAACAGACTTAACACAGAGATAAACTGGAAGAGAAGAAGAATAAATATGGAAAAAATTATAGAAATCTCTGCTTTGGGAACAGGACAATAACAGAAACTACTACCATACTTAGATAACTCTAATTATGAAGGAATATAACAAGGTCCATATATTACAGTAATTTAAAAGATTTATACTGGTTCCCTTATATTTAACTTGTTCTATATAATGTTGGCTTAATCAATTTCTTACTTCATTATATAAGACACTTAGTTTATCTCTTTCTGCTGTCAATAATTTAACATTGGACTGTATGTCCTCCATATGTTTTTCAAATCTTTCCAGCATACGCTGAAGTTCATCTCTTTCTCTTGTGATCAGATGAATTTCTGAGTTGTAATCACCCTGAAACATAATTTAAAAACAAGTTATCATTGTTATAATTATCACCATATGGTTGTCACAGGATGTTGGTAATGATAGTGACTGAATAATGTTAACAGACAAAAGGAACACAATTTTTTTATCCATAGTGAGAGCAGCAGATGATAGAGTGCAGGCAGTACTGGGGCAAATTTCCCGGCCTTCAAATGCCCAAAAGGACCCCCCTACCCCCACCCCCGCTGCCAATAATACCACTTGATCAGATCCTGTCAAACACTTCAACTGTCATTCTCCTGGAGTTATAATGGCAGTAACTAAAGTGTAATCCCCAGAGCAGAAGCATCAGCAGCATGTAGGAACTTGTTACACATGCAAGTTGGTGGGCCCACCCCAGACATACTAAATCAGAAACTGTGGGCATAGGGCCAGTAACCACGGTCTATCAAGCCCTCCACGTGATTCTCACGCATGCTAATTGTTGGGAACCACTAGTTTACAAACCTCTCCAGGGAAGAGACTAGGAGGATATGTGTGTGCCTGCTCACCCAGTATAAGTAACTATTATAGCCTAGCACATTCTTCAGTGTTTTCTGATTGAATCTAAGATCAATTTCCCAGCCACACCAACCTCCACAACCATCCCAGCCCCAACCTATGTGAAGTCTATTTTTGCAATGAGAGAAATATAAACATTTCTACCAGGCAGTATACACTAAGGATGTTCACCAAATAAGCAAATACTTCCAACATTTCTAAAACAAGATGATGCTTATTATTTTAGTCCGATTCAACAGATCCACTATCTTCACAACTATGTGGAAAATAAAGGTGGTAAATGTAGACTTGGGATCTAGGTCTTTTTTTTTAGAGCGCGAGCAAGCAAGCGAGCGATCAGGGGAGAGGGAGAATCTTAAGCAGGTTCTACGCCCAGCACAAGCTTGACGGAGGGCTTGATCTCACAACCCCGAGGGGATGTAAGGTACCTTAATATTAAAGTACTAAATGCAGAAGCCCCAGGAAGAGATAATCTAATATATGTTAAGCATCCTGATATATGTTATTCATTATCTACTGTGCACATAACCATGTCTAATGTAGACTTGGTATCTGTGAGGTAAATTTAACCTGCCACTTGGAAGTAAGTTATCATCTTGGTAAACAAGCAAAACCAAAGCATAATGGATGAGGTCAGTTATCTGGACACCTTAAAGGGTAAGATATTTTATAGGACAAAAGCAGATTAGGAGGGTGCCTGGGTGGCTCTGTCGTTAAGTGTCTGTCTTCAGCTCAGGTCATGATCCCAGGATCTTGGGATCAAGCCCCGCATCGGGCTCCCTGCTCCGCAGGAAGCCTGCTTCTCCCTCTCCCACTCCCCCTGCTTGTGTTCCCTCTCTCGCTGTGTCTTTCTCTGTCAAATAAATGAATACAATCTTAAAAAAAAAAAAAAAGCAGATTAGGGTTTGAGGACTTAAGGCTTAGACAGCTATAAAAGAAAATCTGTAACCTAATTATATCTACATCAAAATATCTTACAAAAAGGAGGTGGTCGGCATAGATTTTAGAAAAGGAGTACTCGGGCGCCTGGGTGGCTCAGTTGGTTAAGCGACTGCCTTTGGCTCAGGTCATGATCCTGGAGTCCCTGGATCGAGTTCTGCATCGGGCTCCCTGCTTGGCAGGGAGTCTGCTTCTCCCTCTGACCCTCCTCCCTCTCATGCTCTCTGTCTCTCATTCTCTGTCTCAAATAAATAAATAAAAATCTTAAAAAAAAAAAAAAAAGAGAGAGAGTTAAATCCTTGTTAAAAAAAAAAAAAGAAAAGAAAAGGAGTACTCAGTGAATAAAGATTTGACAGTAGTGCAGATGTGGTCACTGAGCACTGGAACAAAGCAGAGCTGAGCCTTGTACTGTCCCACTGCCCTGGAATCACAGAGTTTGCCCATGGCTGACAAAATTCAGCGGGCTAGGGCAAAAGCCCAGAGGGGCTCCTGAGCTCAAGGCTTGGCAGAAGTGTCACTGCTCATCCAGTTTCTCCCCCAGAGCTAAGCTGAGGACCTGGGATGGGGTGGGAGCTGGGGGTCTGGTTATAAATAAAGTTGGGACATTAAAAAACAAAAAAGATTTGACAGTCTATTTTCATTACTGTCTAGGTCTCAGCTTAAATGTCACTTTCTCTCAGGAGTTTCTGACTCTTCAGTCTAATTTAGATCTCCCTCTTTGTATTCTTAAGAGCATTCTGAAACCTTGTATCCTTTTTTCACTAACACTTACTATAAACGAGCTTATAAAGTTATTAACATGATTAGGTGTTTAATATATGTCTTTACCACTAAAATGAAAGCTCAATGAGAGACACAGTAGGTATCTGGTCTGACCACACCTTCAGTGCCTAGCATGGTACCTAAAATGAACTAATTCTCCAACATTACTGACTGGCCTTCTTAAGCAGGAACTCTAGCTCTTTTCTAAATATATCCTATATAGACATAAATATACAGATATATTTGTGTTCATATGTAATTGTTAATAATTCCCTTTTACCATTCCATTGTTCCTGACACACACACACACAAGCTCATGCACATACATACACAATACTAAAGGCTACAAGCACAGAAACTATGTCTTCTTTATCTCACATCCAGTGCCTGATTCAGAGCGGGCACTTAATATGTACCTGTTGAACTGAATTTAACTTTGTACCTAGACCTGATGTGTTTTGAACCAGCAAATAATAAGGGCATGAAATATTTACTAGGCACTAGGTGTAATGCTGGGCCCTTATTATCTCATGTAACCTTTGGAAACGGGTTTCATGAAGTGAGGTAACCTGTCCAAGGTCATAAAGGCAGTTTGTGTCTCTAACTCCAAAGCCCTTTCAACTCTACTATACTTAAAACTCATGATTGGAACCATAGTGAGTATAAGCATAAGGAGAAGGAGGCAGTGCTCACGCTACACACACAATAGAGTATCAATGGGTGTATCTTTGACAAAGATCATTGATATTAAAAATATCAATATTTTTTTCTGAGTACTGCAATCCTAAGGAAACTGTGCCTAACAGTTTGCCATAAAGCAGGATTTGAAAACTCATGTGTACCATAGTTTGCTATGTAGTTTCTAAACATGTTTAAAATACCCAAGTTTAGGTGCAGATGCACACTTCACCCATTTCACTCACGTACACACCTACTCTTCCCTGCCATTCCTGCAACTTATTACTGGAACTCTAAAATGCTCTGAACACCCTACCTTTCTAAACTTTAGAAAAGGAATTCTTGATCTGTGTCAGGTAACATTAGAACATTTTAAGAAAATACATAAGTTGAAAAGGGATAAAAGTCTCTTCTAATTTTACCAGTACCTCAAAAATACCTCATTTGTTTTTCAACTGGAAATCCATACTGAGGAGTCAAATCAAATATTTAGGTTAAAAGCTTTAAGATATTTGTCTACTCAGTTTTACTGAATAAATACGTGATTAAACTAATCAACCATTTTATGGAAGATTCTCCTATGCAATAAAGGTGATCAATTCAGTGATTCATTTTTTCTGAGTCCTAAGTATATATGGGGCTTAAAAAACAACTCAGTAACACAAAGATTAACTTATACAGCATTTTCCCACCAATTCATTCTGCTTGTAAGATAACATAGGGTAGTGTTTTTACTAACACCTGTAAATCAAATTCAGCCATTAGCCAATGAAGTTAAAAAACAGTCCAATCAGAAAACAACCCCAAACCATCTGACAATGGACACAGGATCTTCAGGAAAAAAAATGATGAAACTAGTAAACTCAGCCAAGTCTGAATTTTTTCTAACCTATTATCTTCATGTATATGTCACAGTGACTTGGTATTTTTAAACATTTGAAATTAAATGTTTTGAGTTTTAATTTTAGTCCCAACTTCCCCTAATTTTATCTAGTGTGTAGATAATGTTAGAATCATAAGCCTCCAGGACTCCTATAGCTCCAAAGCTTAAAAAAAAAAAAAGAAAAACATGAATGAAGAAGTCAAATGATACTCATAAAACACTGAAAATAATTAAGACTGAAAACAGAGATACATGATTTTAATCTCTCAAGAAACATGGTTAACTTTACCTAATATACATCTTTAGACTACCAACTTATAAATGTGTTGTAGCAGACAAATGGGAAGGCCTGCCCTGCACGCACTTCCACACTCTACCTGCTCCTGTTGAGTGGTTAACATGGAAGATGTCTGGTATGCACAATGTGACCAGCCCTTCTGACTGGTCCAAGGCTGGGAATAGCAAGAAGCCATGTCATCTGCCATGTGGATGAAGCCACTCTTCTTTGAGAGAAAATGTAGCTGATACCAAGAGTAAAGGATAGAAAGGAAACGTCCAGTAGCATGAATTACTAGTTCCAGTTTCTGGAAGCCCAGATGTCCCTGTACTTACCCTACATACATAATGAACTATTCATCTTTCCTTAATTTCCAAAAATCACTATGTTATGCTTTGTTCTTAAGTAGTTTTCCTCATAAATGCAATGTTTCTACAGTACAGGTTGTGTAAAAAAAAATCAAAATTGAGAAAAACCTTTTTTTTGAGAGAGAGTAAATGCATACATGAGCAAGGGGGAGGGGCAAAGGGATAGAGAGGAAGACTCTGAAGCAGGCTCCATGCCCAGCGAGGAGCCCGACTCGGGGTTCAATCTTACGACCCCGTGATTATGACATGAGCCTTTAAAATCAAGAGTCTGATGATGCTTAACCAACTGAGCCACCCAGGTGCACCACCCCACGCTTTTAAGTAAGCGCCACATCCAGCACAGAGCCCAAGGCAGGGCGTGAACTCATGACTCTGAGATCAAGACCTGAGCTGAGACCAAGAGTCAGATGTTTAACTGAATGAGCCACCCAGGCGCCCCAAGAAAAACTTTTAAAAAACAAATATTATAAGTTATATTTAATATAATAATCACATCAGAAAAGTTTGTTCATAAAGACACACTTTTGATTATCAATCATCCTTAAAAAGAGATATTACCTTTTCTAGTGTTTTAAATATTGGAATTTTTTCACGTGTAGAATAATTTATAGAGCAAGATCTTCGCTGTATTATATGTTGGAGTCTTTCTAGTTCTTTCTTATAAAAATCTCGTTCTTCTTCTATACCTTTCAGAAATGTATCTAAACGAGAGGGTGACTTGTCTCGACGTTTTATTCCATGTTCTAGCCTCATCCTTTCAACTTCCAGAGTAAGTTCTCTTTCTGTAAATTAAAGTAATTAAATATTAAAAGTGTTGCATATAAATTATACAATTACCCAAATACATTATATCAGTAAGTTTTAGAATACAAGCTACTAAAAATCATTAACTTTTGTATATCACCTAGCATTGGCTGATATCAAAGAGGTAAATATTAAGAAAAATGAAGAAAAAGAGCACAAATTACATTAAAAGTTTAAATAAAATCTAATAAGTCAAAGTCCTCCTACTTTTGTCTTCTCACAAGGTTGGTATCATTTAGTACTATAGAATGAATAAACTACCACATGGTACTTTCTGGTGACCTGAAAATGCATTAAAAGAAAATTTATCTAAAAGCAATTAATCATAATATGCATGATTTTTAACATTAAGTTTGAATTTAATACAGTATTACACAAAGAGATCAAAACAACTCATCTTTCTCCAAATAAGTACAACTATTAACTTTTACAACAAAAGTTACCTTTTCATGAGTCACAAGTATGCTAATACTGGTAATTTCACATGGTTCAATCTAATTTAACCCTGAGGCACGAAATGATTTTCTAGACATATTCTGATTCACTCATCTCTTCTTTCATTCATTTGACAGGTATTTGTGGAGCATTTACTCTATGCCCACATGTATGAAAAATATAGCTAAGGTCAAACAGTTATTCTGTGTAGTGGGATAAAATCTACAAAAGAATAGCATACAATGAAATCTGGAGGATGAATTGGCAAATTCATCCCAAGGAGTGACCAGAGAGGTAAGAAGAAAGTAGGAGAGTGGGAAGGAATGGGTTACTGGGTTAAATGCTAAGAAGTCAAATAAAGTAATGAATGAAAAGTGTCCACTGCATTTAGCATAATGGGGATGAGAGAAGCCCTTCCGAGAGTAGCTCAGGTGGGGACGGAAGCCAACTGGAGCAGATTGAGGAGCTAAAGGGTAGTAGTGATCAAGCAGAAACAGCAAAGGTGGATGACCTTTCAAAATGTTAAAACTGTGAAAAAGAAAAAGGGTGGCTGGAGGGGAATGGGTCAAAGTTTTTGTTATAGAATGGGAAAAGGGTAAGCATGGGTTTGTTGTTTAAATTTCAGTTAGTTAGCATACAGTGTAATATTAGTTTCAAGTGTACAATACAGTGATTCAACACTTCCATACATCACCCCATGCTCATCAAGACAAGTGCACTCCTTAATCCCCATCACCTATTTCACCCATCCCTCCACCTACCTCCCCTCTGGTAACCAGCAATTTGTTCTCTTGAGTTGAGTCTGTTTCTTTTTTCTTTTCTTTAAAGATTTTTTTAAGTAATCTCTACACCCAACGGGGGGGGGGGGGCTCAAACTCACAACTCCGAAATCAAGAGTCACATGCTCTTGTGACTGAGCCAGAGAGGTGCCCCAAGAGTCTGTTTCTTTGCCTCTCTTTCTCTTTTTCCCTTTGCTCATTTGTCTTCTTAAATTCCACACATAAGCGGGGTGCCTGGGGGGCTCAGTCGGTTGGGCGTCTGCCTTTGGCTCAGGTCATGATCCCAACGTCCTGGGATCGGGTCCTGCATCGGTCTCCCTGCTCAGCGGGGATTCTGCTTCTCCCTCTTCCTTCTACCCCTCACTCCTGCTTGTGCTCTCTCTCAAATAAATAAAATCTTTAAAAAAAAATCCCACATGAGTGAAATCATATGATATTCATCTTTCTCTGACTTATTTCACTTAGCATAATATTCTCTAGCTCCATCTATGTCATTGCAAATGGCAAGATTTCATTCTTTTTTATGGCTAATATTCCATGGTATACAGATACACATTTTCCTCATCCACTCTTCAGTCGATGGGGCACTTGTGCTATTTCCATAATTTGGCTATTGTAGATAATGCTGCTATAAACATCAGGGTGCATGTATCCCTTTGAATTAGTATTTTTGTGTTCTCTGGGTAAATACCTAGTAGTGCGATTGCTGGATTATAGGAGAGTTGTTCTATTTTTAACTTTTTGAGGAAGCTCCATACTGTTTTCCACAGTGGCTGCATCAGTTTGCATTCCCATCAACAGTACAAGAGGGTTCCCCTTTCTTCACATCCTCGCCAACACCTGTTGTTTCTTTTGTTGTTGATTTTAGCCATTCTGACAGGTGTGAGGTGATATCTCACTGTAGTTTTGACTTGCATTTTCCTGATGGCAAGTGATGATGAGCAGCTTTTCATGCATCTATTGGCCATCTGTATGTCTTCTTTGGAAAGATGTCTATTCATGTCTTCTACCATTTTAAATGGATTATTTCTTTTTCAGGTGTTGAGTTTTATATGTTCTTTATATATTTTAGATACCAATCCTTTGTCAGATATGTCATTTATAAATATCTTCTCCCATTCTGTAGGCTGCTTTTTAGTTTTGTTGATTGTTTTCTTTGCTGTGCAGAAGCTTTTTATTTTGATGTAGTCCCAGTGGTTTATTTTTGCTTTTGTTTTCCTTGCCTCAAGAGACATATCAGGGTAAGTATGTTTAAATGCCAATGGACAAAAACAGTACAGACTTAAGTTATAGAAAAGAGATAATTAATATGCGAGGTTTTAAAATTAGAAAGGACAGGACCCAGAGAACATTCGGAGGCAGTGGCCTTTCCTAAGAGGGACACACTTCCATAGTAACAGGAAGGAAGATAAAAATGGACAGTTTAAGATCTTGGGACAGGAAAATGACAGAAAGCCTCACTGATGGCTTCCATTCTCTTAGGGAACCTGAAGATCGCCCACTCAGAATGGGAGGTGGAATGAGAGTCATAGGCTTATTGAGAATGGAAAACATTTGAAATGTTCCCTGCAGACAGTAGGAGATCAAGTGGTAAGAAATATAGAGTAAAATTTCCATACATCACTGAGCGCTGGACCATCTAATTTACAGTGCTACTGATGTGTTTGGTGCACACACAAGCAGTACTTAGTTGCTCATGTGCAAATGTGTAGAAGGTAAATATTTTGGTTGACCTGTGGTTGGATTTTTGGTAGGCTGGTGCATTTGAGACACAGAGAAGCAGGGAGTTTCAGATATGAAAGATCACACTGAAATGATAGGTCACAGCTAGGTATGAAAGGAAGTAAATTACAAACTTTTATACATAGGTCTAAGCACTTTAATGTATTAACCCATTTAATCCTCAGAATAATCTTTTGGGTAGGTGCCATCATTAACCCCATAGACAGGGAAACTAAAGCATAGAGAGGTTAAGTAATGTGCTCAAGTCATAAAGGCAGTGAATGGAGAAGGGGTCAAACAGATTATCCATATGGATGCTGAAAAGCCTAGAATATAGCCTCTTTTTAACACAGCACACTGGCTTTCTTTTACTTCTGAAGACGCATGGGGCTTCTGCTCTTAAGTAATCTCTACACCCAACGGGGGGGCTCTGCTCTTGACAGCACCGGGCTTCTGCACCGTTCCCTTTGTCTGGAAAAAACTGCCCCAAATCTTCATTGGCTGGTGTCTTGTCTCTGAGACCTTGGGTTAGTCAATCTCTAGCATATCTTCCCCCATTTTCATACCTCTTATCATCTAAAATTGGCTTTTTCATTTATGTGCTACTAATTTGTCCAACTGGAACAAAGGCTCCACAAGAGCAGGGACCTTGCGTATTTTGTTTACCATCATATACCCCAGTACCCAAAACAGAGCCTGGCACACGAAAGGCTCATAAACATTTGTCAAATAGAATGGATGAGTGGATGAATTCTTACATGTTTCTTAAACTAACTTATTTAGTGCTGATACCTGGCAGAAAGTTGCCCTACTGGGAGAAAGAGAGAAAGAGAATATGTTCTTTCAGGTGATGTAAGTGCATCTCCTTACAAAGATTCTGCATTTCAATTTTTCACCATTTCAGAAGTTTTCCTCTTAGTCTTAATTAATTCTATTATCTGCTTCAAAAAAGCATATACTTCTATTGGAAAATACTCAAGCAGGGTTCCCTGTACCAACTAGTCAAAATATAAAAGAATCCTGTAAGGTCACTGAAGATTTTCCACTCTATCTACAGCATCCGGTATGGTTTCTGATATATTAACAAGCACTCTACAAATATTTATTGAGTGAATGAATGAATGAAAGATAATCTACTAAGAAAAATAATATGTCAAGAGGAAATAACACTTTTTAAGTTATCAACATTTTATATTTTACCTGTAACTGCAAAACTTTCCATTTTTTTGTTAAGTCTTTGCTTTTCTTGTTCAAGCTGATGAACAACAGTTTCCAGGTCTGACTTTATAAGTAGTTCATCACTCAGTCTCTCCTTTTCTTTATGGCATAAGTTTAATTCCTGCAAATTTTAATACTATAATTAAGATTTCTAACAACTTGATAAAATATTATAGAACTTAAAGTAGATATTTTGGTAAGTACATTTAATTAAGAGTAAGTCACAGACACACTTTTAGTTAGTCAAATATATGGGTTCAACTAAAGTTCATTCTCAACTGTGGCTAAAAGGACCACAAAACCCAAATATGAATAGGGCTCCTTTCTGAGTAGAATTATTAGATTTTATTTTCTCTTAATTTGTTTAACATACTGTCTACTTTTTAAAATGAATACGTACTTGTGCAATAAAAAGCTTTAAAGCCTTTTTATTTTTAAAAGAAGGCAGAAGGAAGCCATAGTGCTCTCAGACTATCATAGGTATCAGTAACTATGCTGGTTATTGTCTCAGGCTTATCTGCACAATGGGGATAAGAGCAGTATCTGGACACCGAGAACTCACTGGTGAGGATGAAACTAAGGATGTGAAGCACTCTGCACAGTGTCTAGAACATGGCAAGTGATTAATAAATGCTAGCTATTAATATCATTAGTATTTATCCTAAAAATACATAATATCATACTAATGAAAAAAATAAGAAAGGTCAGAAAGTAACTATAGCATCTGACTGTCATCCAATACTACTGAGACTTGGTCAGAGTCCGAGACAAGCATTACGAATCACACTCAACTGTTGATAGGATACATACAATGCAGCGAACAAAAATTCCTGCCCTCACAGAGTTTACACTGTCAGTAAAAACATCATCAAAACATCTACTTTCTGTTTACTGACCTCATGGAAGATTTTCACAATATCTATGAGACTCAAGAGTAGACAACATCAAAAAAAAAAAAAGAGTGGACATTTATCAGGTTTAGTTAATTCAGTTATTTAATACTGAATTGAGTAGCTGCAAGTGAATAAAAAGGAAGCCACTGTGATTCACAGTGAGCATATAAAAGTCAGCAAGTATTCAAGCACCTACAGTGTGGCAGCATATCACAATGGCTTCATTTTTTAATTTGCCTTATGCCACCAGAACATTGCTGCTATACTGTATAAGACTATAAATAATAAGAAAACTTGAAAATTAGTATTAGTCTTAGTTTCCAATCTTAAAAGAAACTCATCCAATTTAATAAGCTATTAAAAAAAAAATCCCCAATCATCTTTTAGGTGACCACCCAGGAGTTTCTAACTGGAAGCAAGGCATGACTATAGAACTATATGCTACATCTAGGCTTATGCTGGGACGATTACTATTTTTCTTATTTAAAGAAGACTACCAGAACAACTATTATCTAGAAAGATGGTTTTCACTACCAAACAAAGCTATTTTTATAAAAGAGGACGGAATGTTTTTTTTTTTTTTTAAGATTTTATTTTTAAGTAATCTCTATACCTGACGTGGGGCTCAAACTCACAATCCTGAGATCAAGAGTCATGTGTGCTCTAGAGGCGCCTGGGTGGTTCAGTTAAGTGTCCAACTCTTGATTTTTGTTTAGGTCATGATCTTAGGGTTGTGAGATTGAGCCCTGCAATGGGCTCCTATCTGTTTGTTATCCTCTCCCAGACTCTACCCTTCCCCCCACTCACATACACACGTGCTCTTTCTCTAAAATAAATAAATAAAAAATCTTAAAAAAAAAAAAAAAAAAAGAGTTGCATGCCTCAACTGAGCCAGCCAGGTACCCCAGATTGAGTGCTTTTAATAAAAGTCAACAATTTTAACAAGTAATTATCAATTTCTAATTTTAATATTAGTAAACTTACAAGTCATGAAGTAGTTAAAAGAATATAAAATTCCTAACAGGTTTTCCAAATTCAAATTTAACTTGCCATCTACTGTATATAAAATTAAAGAATTATAAAAACAGAAATGAAATTAAATACATCCATACAGTGGAATATTACCCAGCCATAAAAAGGAAGTACTTGGATACATGCTACAACAAGCATGAAACTAGAAAACACTGTGCTAAATCAAAGAAGCCAGACACAAAAGGCCACATATTGTATGATTCCATTGGTATAAACTGTCCAGAATATGCAAGTCTATAGAAATAGAAAGATGAGTGGTTGTCAGAGGCTGAGCAGAGGAAAATGGGGAGGGACTGCTAAATGGGTATGATGTTTCTTTTTGGAGTGATGAAAATGTTCCTTTACTTGATGGTCAGAATGGTTGCAGTACTTCATAACTACACCAATACCAATGAAATAAATGCTTAAGAGTGAATATTATAATGTGTAAATTATATCTCAATTAAAAAATATATGTAAAATACAGCATGCAAATTTTCTTACCAAAAGTTCAGGCAATTTAACATGACATCTACTTACCAGTTGAAGTTTTGCCATTGTTTCTTCAAGATCCCGCATTTCAGAAAGCTTTCTTTTAATCTCTTTCTAGGAATAAAAAACTTATTAGGTACAGACCTAAAAGTCAAGAATATTTATCACTAAGTCACAATGCAAATAAGACCAAGTCATTTTTTTGAGTAGTCTTCCTTCTCAGCAGTGAGATGGGAGGTTTTAGCAGTTTTAAGGCTCAATTTCAGTGAAGAGGAGACAAAGTCCAGGCTTCTCTTTAATTTCTTGGTATCCTGAATGCTTAGAGGGAGCTATTTGTAACATCTGAAACAAGAGGGCCCACTTAAAAACCTATTTTGCCTATATACTTGCAGAACCTTCCTTGAACCTTGATTTTTGGGCTCTTCTTACGGCACTGTCATTTCCTAATTTTCCCATCTTATTTGATTTCCCTCCACCTGCTACTACCAATGTGGAACCTCTATACAGCAAATAAGAGCACTGAATGCCAATATTAAAATATTTTGACCCAACAGAAATCTTTTGTGAGCCAAACTGTCATTCTTTTTTTTTTTTTTTAAAGATTTTATTTATTTATTTGAGAGAGAGAATGAGATAGAGAGAGAGAGCATGAGAGGGGGAGGGTCAGAGAGAGAAGCAGACTCCCCGCCGAGCAGGGAGCCCGATGCGGGACTCAATCCCGGGACTCCAGGATCATGACCTGAGCCGAAGGCAGTCGCTTGACCAACTGAGCCACCCAGGCGCCCCCAAACTGTCATTCTTGAGCACTGCCAATGGGACCTGAGAAGCTATATTCAGTATGTTGTGTGCATGAGCAGAGAAGATGTAAAAGAAGTGGAAAAAGAGAGGAATGAGATATAGGAATGTTGCAATGAAACTAGAGCCACCAAAAATTAAAACTGCACTAATTATGTTCTTCATTTTTCTTAAGTTTATTTTTTTTAGTAGTCTCTATACCCAATGTGGGGCTGGAACTCATGACCCTGAGATCGAGAGTCACATGCACTTCCAAATGAGCTAGGCAGGCACCCCTATATTCTTCATTTTCAAGACTCTTTTGGCTATCCTGGGGCCCCTTGAAATTTTATAATTTTTTTCCATTTCTATAAAAAATGCCATTGGGATCTGGATAGGGATTGTACTGAATCTGTAGATTGCTTTGGGTACCATGGAGATTTGAACAATATTAAGTCCTCCAATCCATGAACATAGGATGTCTTTCCATTTATTTCTGTCTTATTCAAATTTTTTCAAGAATGTTTTATAGTTTTCAGCATACAGTCTTTCACCTCCTTGGTTAAGTTTATTCCTAAGTTATTTTATTCTTCTTGATGCTACTGCAAATGGGATTATTTTCTTAATTTCCTTTTGGATTTTAATTATTTGCATATTGAAACACACCTGATTATTGTGCATTGATTTTTGTATCCTGCAACTCTGCTGAATGTATTAGTTCTATTTTTTTGTGAAATCTTTAGGATCTTCTACATACAAGATCATGTCATCTGGAAACAATTTCAGTTCTTTCTTTCCAATTTGGGTGCCTTTTATTTCTTTTTCTTGCCTAACTGCTTTAGCTAGGACTTCCAGTACTACACTGAACAGAACTGGTAAGAATGGGCATACTTGCATTGCTGCTGATTCTAGAGGAAAAGCTTCAATCTTTCACCACTGGGTATGATATACTGTGGGCTTTTCATATATGGCCTTCACTATGTTGAGGTATGCTACTTTTATTCCACTAATTAGTGGAAATGACATGGTACAAAATTGATTCAATGATGTAGAGTACTGATCCTCAGGCTAGCTTATATCCATTCCTGGGATAACATAAATACTTCCCAAGTATTATGTAAAACTACTGTATACGTGCAGTTTTAATGTATCCATATCTGGATTCTTAATTTGCATGTACAGTCCTTTTTAAGAATTATCTACCTGAAAACCTGTGTGTGGTCTAAGTATCTCATGATCTTTCCTCTCTCACCTTCCCTTTCAAAACTGTTTTCCTCCCACTTTTTAAAGCAAAGTCATGCATCTAATGCCACTCAAAATATGAAAAATTTCTGAAGCACCAAAAAGATAATCGAAGTTTATGAAAGATACGTATTAAGAAATGTATTAATAAGATATGTATCTTATTAAGAGATGTATTTCCAATAAAATTTTACTTTTTAATTCAGTAAGTATCAACATTTGTGCTATATTTGTCACTTTGATCCACTAATTACTAATAATTATAATGATAACACTATTCAAAGGAAAATGTTAACACTTTGAACCTTGTAATCAAAGGACATTTTTTTTTTTTTTTAAAGATTTTATTTATTTATTTGAGAGAGAGAGAATGAGAGACAGAGAGCATGAGAGGGAGGAGGGTCAGAGGGAGAAGCAGACTCCCTGCCGAGCAGGGAGCCCGATGCGGGACTCGATCCCGGGACTCCAGGATCATGACCTGAGCCGAAGGCAGTCGCTTAACCAACTGAGCCACCCAGGCACCCTCAAAGGACATTTTTTAAAGTAAAAAATTTCTAAATAAATAAATGCTTTCAATTTATGTATTTTTTTATTGCAGAGATGTTTGATAGGGTGATCATGAAAAGATATCCAAGCATAAATATATTAAAATAGGATAAAACTTTGTGAAGATTTCAAGAAGAAAGGGTCATTTAGCTATATTTAAAAGAACGATGTGACAGTTTAAGAGATCAATACTTACAATACATTGGAAATTACATCTTTCATATCTATTTATTTACTCATTATTATTTTTAAAAGATTTTATTTTTAAGTAATCTCTACACCCAATTTGGGGCTCGAACTCACAATCCCGAGATCAAGAGTTGCATGCTCCTCCCACCACACCAGCCAGGTGCCCCCTTTCATACCTATTTAAACTTAAAGATGAAAAAATGTTAGCTACCAACTTAAAAACGTGTAAGGACATACACTATTTCAGAAAATACTTTTAAAGGGAACATGAGCACAGAATGACACAGAGGACAAACTTCCAAAGCTCACTCACAATGCAGAGATGAAAATCTTGAGGGAAAATAGGACAAAATCTGGAGAGCTATCCTAAGAAAAGGTGTGCTTCAGAAACATAACCAATTTTAGAGAGTGTGAACGACACTTTGGGAAAACTGGAATTATGAAACAAACCAAAAGACCAAATCAGATATCAAAGGGGCTTAAGCTCACGATGTTCCAGGAGGATTAACAAATGCTCCCACAACCTAGACATACCTTTGCTTCCTCAAGTTCTTTATCGGCAGTCTCAAGCACTTCTTCTTTATGTCTCTCTAACTGCTGTGCTAACTGATCTATTTCAGTTAATTCCTGGCAGAGTTTTTCATTTTTGTTACTTAGATTAACAACTTCAGTAGTCACTGTTTCCTTGGTTTCCATAAGCTCCTGTATATGCTTCTCCAGGTCTTTATTAGCTCGCTGAAGAAAGTCAACCTAAATTGAATTTGTAATTCACAGGTATATGAATTGGAAAATTATCCTAAATACTGGACTTCCAAAAATATTTCAAAATACCGTATTTTTTAAAATACTGAACATTTAAACCAGAGCTATTTTACATTTGTAATCTTACACTGCTTTGATTCACAAAACTGACAATGTGGGGTGTAATAAAAATATTAGCCATTGGCTTCCAATTTTTAAACGTGGAAGGAAAGGAAAAGCAAAACATTTGTGTGAACTTTTTCCCAACAGAGAGTTCTAAAATTACGACAAGAATATCACTACCATGATACTACTACTCTAGACTGTGCTGTTCAATACAGCAGTCACTAGTATCCACATGTTCATACTGTGGCTCGTCTGAACTGAGTTGTGCTATAAATGTAAGATAGACACAAGATTCCAAAGACTTGGTGCAAAAAAGAAAGAATGTAAAAGATCTCAACATCAATTTTACAACATTAATTATATTTTGGATATACTGAGATAAATACATTATTAAAATTAATTTCACCTGTTTACTTTCTTAATCTAGTTACTAGAAAATTTTATAGTTTCATGTTTTACATTTTGATCTGAGATTTTCTTTTCTTTTTTTTAAGTGGGCTCCATAGAATCTTGAACTCATGACCCTGGGATCAAGACCTGAGCTGAGAGCAAGAGTCGGTCAGACGCTTAACCAACTGAGTCACCCACGTGCCCCTAGAAAATTTTAAATTACATTATGTGGCTCATATCATATTGGTATTGGATAGCACTGCTCTAGAGCTACTGCTGATATTCGTGATTTACTCTATTTTGGTTACAGCTCAGGCAGCAACGACATGTCTAAATTTCTAAAGGTAACATAACATGCTTTATGTAACTCTCGTGTTCTTTTACTCTTAGGTCAAATGCATGGCAAGGGAATCTATTACATGTTTAGCTTTTATATTTCTTTTTAAAAATCTTTTCTTTTTTTACGTTTTTATAAAACAAAAGTTTTGAAAATAAAATCAAAAAGAATATCTCATCACACAAAGATAGACTGTTAGTATACTTTGGTGTCTTCTCTTCCAATGCTTTCTCTCTCCAAGTTCATATGCACATTTTTAAAAAGCAAACTGAACATCACTTGTGTCTACAGTTTATTCTCCTCTTTTAAATATTTAACATTATGGTGTATGTATTTTTCTGCCTCATTAAATATTCTTTTTTTTCATTATATATTCTTTAAAAACATGATTTTTCAATAGCCGCATCCTATTTCTGGATACTCTGGCTCTATCAAAATTTTCCTATTGTAAATAATACACTACTGAACAACTCTGTCACTTTTACAAATCCATGGACTGTTATAAACACTTAATGATTTTATATACTCAGTGAAATAATTATAAAAGTCATTACCTGAATATTTAAATGAGCAATAAGTTTTTCATTGGTTTTATTTCTAGTCTCCAGAGAGAGAATATCAGGGGAACGGCCACTGTCCAGTGCTACTGATAGTCGTTCTATCTCTCGTTCTCTTAGCTCAATCTGAAGACATAAAGTCATGTTATCACTTAAAAAAATCTGCTTTGAACTGAAATAACACTGTACAAACACTTATTTGGATATACTTTCATTTTTCTTATGTTTTACAGTGTGTACAAGAGATTAATATTCATATATGTACCATATTATGAAATACATATACACAAGCAAAAATAAACACAGAAAATTTCAAAATAATGTCAACAAAGCTTTCATAAGTATTTCTTTTTTTTTTTTAAAGATTTTATTTATTTATTTGACAGAGAGATAACACAAGTAGGCAGAGTGGCAGGCAGAGGGAAAGGGAGAAGCAGGCTCTCTGCTGAGCAGGGAGCCGGACGTGGGGCTCGATCCCAGGACCCCAGGATCATGACCTGAGCCGAAGGCAGCCGCTTAACCGACTGAGCCACCCAAGCGCCCCTCATAAGTATTTCTATTGAATAGATTCTTCCCAATTATTTTTAATTTTTGGGTTTTTTCCCCCTCCCTCCTCCATAGATTAGGCAATGTTTATATAAAAAGAAACTACTGGGGGCGCCTGGGTGGCTCAGTCGGTTAAGCGGCTGCCTTCAGCTCAGGTCATGATCCTGGAGTCCCGGGATCGAGTCCCGCATCGGGCTCCCTGCCCAGCGGGGAGTCTGCTTCTCCCTCTGACCCTCGCCTCTCTCATGCTCTCTGTCTCATTCTCTCTCTCAAATAAATAAAATCTTAAGAAAAAAAAAAAAAACAAAGAAACTACTGGGTACTAGAACTGAGTCTGAGCTACTTCAGTGCCTGGCAGAATAAATGTAGAATGAACAAATAGATGTAGGACACAAAGAATTGCTACTGAAACTCAATATGGAAAAGGATAGGAAGTTGGGGTGAATTTAATTATTATTTAGAAAATAACACACATAAAATCACAGAGAGCACTATCAGCCATGATTTCACACTTATTCACATTCATGAATTTGGAAAAACCCAAACACTTTACAGCTTTGGGTTTTGCGGCTTTTGTTTTTTCAAAAAAATTGAAAACTAAAACCAAGCATTCAATTCAACAATTATGGAACACAATTTTTGGTATATGAAGATGAGTAAAATATGGTCTCTGACTTTCAGGAACACAGCTTTACAGGGAAAACTAGCAAGTAAACCAGTAATTGCTATATAATATGTTGTTCAATGGTAGAATAAAGTAAAGAGGTATATGGCACCAAAGAAGTTAAGGGAATAAAAGGATTTACTCTCCATGATATATTCATATGCCTATTGAAATTAGTGAAGGCTTTATCAAATACATATGCCCAAAAAGGTTATAAATGATGCTATGAAGAGAAGAAAGGAGGAATGTTTCAGGCAGTGACACAGAAGTATAAAGCCACATGGTATGATCGAAGGAGCAGAAATGGCTCAGTAAGACGATCAGTAAGACGACTGTAACGTGCAAGGGAACTTATGGTGGGTCTGAAGAATCAGGCAGGAATTAATTATGTTAAGCTCTGAATACTTTGCTAAGGAGAAAGACTGCTCTGGATTAAAAGATAAATAAGAATAAAGCCAGAGGAAGGGAGACCTATTGGAGGAATGTATGAGAAATGAGTAAGGCATAAAACAGTAGATAGGTTAAAGCAGAAAAAGTAAGTTTACAAAGTACTTAGAAGTGACAGAACTTGGTAAGTGAAGGGAAAAGAATGAGATCTAGAAAGACTATAGAATGTTGGCTTGGGCAGATGGTGATGCTACCAACCAAAGCAGAGAATATAAGAGGGAAAACAGATTTGAGGCAGAAGATAACAAGTTTAGTACTAGGTATATGGTATGAAGAGCTTTCATCCAAGTGGAAACGCCCAATATGAAATTGGATATATGGGTCTGGAGCTCTACAGAGATTTGAGCCAGAAAGACTGAAAAGTCATTAACTACAGGGAATATCTTAAACCAAGAGAGTAAATGAAACCTTCTGAGAAAATATACTGGGAAAGAAGGGGTCAAAGACAAGATCCTGAAAAACAGTAACATTTCAGGGAACAGGTAGAGGAAATAAGCAAAGAAGAAATGATGATAGATTTTTAAAAAAGGGAAAACTGAAAGAAAATGAAAGTATTTTAAAGAGAAATTATCAATAATGACAAATACTACAGAGGAGTCAAGAAAATAAAGACTAAAGTATCCTTTTGGATCTAGCAATTAATGTCACTGGTGTCATTAACTAGACCAATTTATGTAATGGGAGGCAGAAGCCAGAACGCAATAGGACAGCAGGAGGTGAAGAAGTGGAGACAGAAGAGTAAGATACTCTTTAGAGAAGTTTGCATGAGGGAAGAGAAGGCATCAGCAAGAGGGAGAGGTAATTAAAGGAGATCTTTTTAGGGGAGGTTAGTAACGACCATAATAGCACCTCTTTCTAGGACAGTTAGGGAGATTAAAAGCATTACTAGTTGTAAAGTGGCCATTTAAGTGTTTGTTAAAGAAGGAAAAAATATCAATGAAAGCAAAAAAAAGAAGAAGAGGGCTGCCTGGGTGGCTCAGTTGTTGGGCATCTGCCTTCAGCTCAGGTCATGATCCCAGTGTTCTGGGATCAAGCCCCAGGTCTGGCTCTCTGCTCAGTGGGGAGCCTGCTTCTCCCTCTCCCTCTGCCACTTCCTGCTTGTGCCCTCTTTCTCCCTCTCTCTAATAAATAAATAAAATCTTGAAAAAAAAAAAGAAAAGAGGAAATAGAGCCAAGAGCACAGGTACAAAGACTAAGCCTTAAATAGGAAGAATGCCACACTACCCATTAAGTCTGGAGAGCCTCAGTGTGAACATTGCTAATTTTAAAGGTAGAAACAAAGTTGAGACAAGGTGATATCTTGAGGAGAGTATTTATTACAGGCTGGGGAAAGAGCTTGCAGAGAACAGCAACATTTGGAATACAAACTGAGAAAAACAGAACAAACTTAAGCAAAAAAACCCCAAAAAACAAAAACCAAACACCCAGATAGGCAGCAGAGTTTCAATGAGAATGATCAGGCTATTTTCTCCAAACACCTCAACTACCTCACAGAGATAACCAAGATTGGTCAGCTTATGTTCATAAAGTACTTGGGGAAAATGTGATGAAAGTGTGATTATAAATTGAAAAATACCAACAATATTCAACTTATGCATATTTGATATTTTCAATCTCTCTCCATATTATAAGTTTTTTGGTTGATGTGATCACAATTCCTTTTTACTCCATTTTTATTCAAATATCTTCAAAGTACTTTACAAACTTAACAGTTATACCAACACATAAGTTACATATATATTTGTATGTGCAGATCACTTCACTCCAGAAAAAATGCAGTCACATGCAGAAAATGAAAAAACGTGTTACCCAATTTAAGCTTCAATAAGCATTTTAAGAAAGTAAGCCTGTAATTATACAAATCAGAATTTAGCCAAACACCAACAGAAGGTAAGAAAGAATTAAAGCTTATTACGGTTACGATCTAACCCTGCATATATTAATTCCCCTGCTTCTTCAGAAAACTCTTTTACTAGTTCTTGTAGCGAAAACACACAACAAATATGGTGCCACAAAAGAGTAACTATCAAGAAGACTTATGTTCCAAATAACAAAATCTACAGTAAGAGTAAAAAAATCATTTATGTTACCACTGTAAAGCATAGTACACTTCAGTAAAATACCTCCCAAGATGAAAACAAGTAATATGGTTACAATATTTGGGGAGACAGATGATTCACCTAAAGGAACCAAAAAAAAACCTAGTATTTGCCTCAATGCATAATGGACTGGACTGTTTGCTCTAAAGCCATCTAAGCCACTCCAGCTATTATCTCTATTAACAAATTGGTGGAAAAGATAAAAGCTGTATAAAAATTCAGTATCAGTAATACCAAATATAACCCAACTTTATTTACAATCACAGCATACCCATCTCAACAATGCAATCATGCATCCCTGTTATAGAAGTAAAAAAAAAAATCCTACCTGCTCCGTATAATCTCTCAGTCCACTTTCCATCATTGCTAACTTTTCTTGTAACTGGTGGACTTCCAGCTGCAGTTCTTGAATTCTGAAACACATGTATAACTAATGTCAATATACTTTTTTAAGAAATACAAAAAAAACAAGAAATGAAACTAGATATGTTCTCCTATAAATTCTCTATTTTCTATTTCTCAATAAGGTATGAAGTACTGTACCAAAGGGTTCCAAACCACATCATAAGGAGAGTACATCATCTTGGAGATATAATTTTATAAGAATAGATTAAAGAAACTGAGTGTTAAATAATTTGAAATTCAGATACATTATGCCTACTGTTGCATTTTGATCTTTAAAACTCTTTGAGGTATTGCTGCCAATGCTTAGGTTCAGTTCAGGAAACTAGAGGGTCTAGCCCAGAATTCACATTCTGAAGTGAAATAAGGGACTCAAGTTTGTCTTCTGACCCTAAATGACCCTGTATTTTCTAATGAACTACCCTATGATCCTGGAGAAAAGAAAAATATCAAGAAATACTGTAATTCACCAAATAACTACAGCAAAAACCTACTCCTTTCTGGAACTTGTTAATTCTAACAAAATCAAGATTTGTCCAAATTACCTCAATTCTACAACTATCCAAATGTATTTATATTACATCAAACTTTGCCAAACATTAACATAAATATGACATAACCACTTTCATATTGGAAAAATAAAGCCTGAAGCCAGGTCTGCTTTTAAGAGAGATTTTCTGTGAAGTAGAGTAAGTGAGGCTGGCACACCTTGTCCATGCTGTTATTGGAACCAGTATTTTCTACTACTCTAGGTTTAGGAGAAAAGTAGGCATGTGACTGCACTCATATGTATGCACACGAATTACTCTGAATACAAACAAAATGTGTATGAGCAAAAGGAAACAAACAAGATCATCAAGAGACTAATGCCACCTATGATGGTTTGATAGAAAAGAAAGATGTTAAGGAAAAAGATTAAAGACAGAAAATGACAAACATGCAGACCAAAAAACTCCTTAAATACACTATCACACTGCTGAGAAGTCCTAGATTACAACTGTAACAGAAAAAAAGAACCCCACAAAATATTTCACAAGTTCAGATAACTGTATAAACATAGTTATGTAATACTGTGTGACAATAACTAAGAGATCCTAATCAGTACCTCCACCAATGTTCCTTTAGATTGTTATGAGATTAATGAAGTGGAAAAACTCCCCCATATACTCTGTATAATCTACAAAATAAAAAGTTATCCATACTAACCATTTTTACTAGTGTAGTACATATTTTAGAATGCTTTTCCAGGTATGACCACAGATGCTGTCACGAGTGTTCTTTTGCTACTTTGAACCTCTTAAAATTTTCTTAATGGCATTCTGTGTATTTATCTCATCTTTACTATTAGAATGTAAGTTTCTCAAGAGCAGCAGTACCATCTTACTCATCTTTACAACCCCAGGACACTTACATAGTGCCTTTCCCAGAGACCTTTTCTATATAAAATAGAATTTATATCTGATTCCAATTTAAGGAAAAACAAGCACACAGAGCTAGAGAATCATGAAGCAAGAATTTCAAAGCCAGTTACAAATCTATTCATGTTCATTGGCATTTGACATATCTGAAGTGAGAGAGTCCTGCAAAAAGACGAATTGGGTGATAAAACTAAATACTAAAGCAACTCTACTAAAATAGGTTCTAGATGGCACTAAATTATTTTAAAGTAAACATGGATAGAAACATCAGATTTATGATCTATCTGAGATCAAAGTTCCAAAACAAATAAAAACTTTTTTTTTCTTTTTAAGATTTTATTTATTTATTTGACAGAGACAGGCATAGCGAGAGAGGGAACACAAGCAGGGGGAGTGGGAGAGGGAGAAGCAGGCCTCCCACCGAGCAGGGAGCCCGATGCGGGGCTCGATCCCAGGACCCTGGGATCATGACCTGAGCCGAAGGCAGACGCTCAACGACTGAGCCACCCAGGCGCCCCAAGTAAAAACATTCTATATTTAGGATACATTCAGAAAGTACTTCCTCAGTGCTCACGCAAAGTTCTGTCCTAGGCCCTGGAGATACAACAGCAAAGACTGGAGCCCTAGCATCAAGAAACTTATTAGAGTTAATCAAGTAATTAACTGAAACCAACAAAAAATTATTTAATGCACCTGTTATCAGCCACCTGCAGGAGGTCTGCAATGTAAGGGTCATCAGGCTGCGGAACTGGATATGAACTGACTTCGGAGGGAGGGACTGGTTCATCAATCTGCATACGCTGGCGCCTGAAAGCAATACTTCTTTTTTTGCCACCTAAAACACAATGTGTGTTTCAAAAACATTTAAAAGAAACAAATATTAGAATTAAATATTCCAGAAGGTTAGGCTTTTTGTTATAAAGGGTGTCTCTAGCTCATATTACCTAGCGATAAAATACCTCCTCCCTTATATATACTCACACCCTGATCTTTAACTAAACAATGCATTCCCGAAAACCTCAACAAGACATGGTTATAAAACAAGTTTTATTTTTGGCATGCTTGGTACATATATCCAGATGCAATCTGTTCCTCCATTAGATGGGAACAAGACTTTGGCAAGATTAGAAGTTGAGCATGCCTTGTGGTATTTGCTCTTATGAACTCAAGAAATCATCACCAGCAGAAAACTGTCAAATGAGAAGCTTAAAGCAGTGATAACTAAAATAAACTTGTTTATTAAGCAATGCCAAAAGAGCAGGTAACAGAAACTTTATGCAGCAAAATTAGTATACAATGAATGAATGTCATCTGTAATATAAAATGATGCTATAACTGAATTTGTGGGGAATGCCTACCTAATTATCCTTTTTTTTTTTAAAGATTTTATTTATTTATTTGAGAGAGAGAGAATGAGACAGAAAGCATGAGAGGGAGGAGGGTCAGAGGGAGAAGCAGACTCCCTGCCAAGCAGGGAGCCTGATGCGGGACTCGATCCCGGGGACTCCAGGATCATGACGTGAGCCGAAGGCAGTCGCTTAACCAACTGAGCCACCCAGGCGCCCTACCTAATTATCCTTAAAACCATCAGGAGTAATTTCTTTTTATGGACATATACATCCAAATTACACGGATAACTTACCTTTCCCAGCACCTGGCCAAGATTAGACATGCACTTGAAAAATGAATTTATCCACACGAAGAACAAACACAATCTACAATTGTGTCTTTATTAAAATCCTGACACATTTTGTATACATATATCTCTTGTGTTGAGGATGAAGAAACTGGATCAAAAGTATTTAAATGATTTGCTTGTAGTTACACACCTAAAGAAAGTAAACCATTTTCTCCTTCCCTTACTTCCTGGTTTTCCTCCTTGGTTGTTCCTTCTCAGTTTCTTTTAAAGACCCTCTCCTTCCACCAGTCCTTTAATTACCAACCTCTCCTCAGGATCTGTTCTCTCTCCCCAGTCTACATAATCTTACTAGATAATTCCCACCGCATCCATAGCTTCAATTCCCACCAAACTCCAATGACTCCCAAATTTGAATTTCCATCTGGGACCACACATCTAAAATCAGATCCACATATCCTACTGTGTACTAGAAATCTCAATGCGGATGTTCCATGGGTATAATATTTGACACATGCAAAAGTGAACTCCTGCTCTGCTTTCCACCTTCTCTAAAAAATAGTACCATCATTCACCCGCTCATTCACCTGAAACAGAAATCTGGGAATTCCTCTACCTCCCAAGTCTTCCACATTCAGTCACTGAATTCTATAGATTACACCACCTGAATCTCTCTGGAATCTGCCCCATTCCTCTCTCAGGAAACCTGATTATCCTCATTTTTCCCCTTAATCTTCTAGTTACTTCTAAGACCTTCTTCCATGTTTCTTGATCTTTTGTGCCTTTAGCCCACAGTCCCCCTCTCCATCTCATTTCCTGACATTTCCATCTTCCCCTGATTCCGCTTGGCTACAGGCACACCGTAAGATGACTGTGTGTGGCCTTCATCACCACTTCAAACTGTGCCAGCATCTAGAACTCCAACTCCCTTCTGATCTCAGTCTTCATGCTCCTAATCCCTCAGCCTCCACCTCATCTCATAATCCAGCACTTTCCTACACCTCACTCACTCCCATTATCTTCAGCCCATAATTCAGACATCTTGACGATCTTGTCACTGGTACTGGAGATTCTTCCACCAACTTTATGCCTTGACCACCCTTAACTCTGGATATGACCCTTCCTTTCTTTTCTCTTGCTACAGAACTACCGAACATAAAGCTAAAAAAAGTAAAATAAACTAAGAAATACTGAAAACACATTTCCAAATTTTTTAATGAGTATAGATTACCTTTATAACTAAAATAATAATGATAACATTGAGATGGCATCCCTCAAAAGAGTTCCTTTTTTAGCTTGTGGATCTTCAGATTGATAGTTCTGCCATTTTCATTTCATTTCCTGAAAGTCAGGGCCGGCTTGTAATAAGTTGTTAAACAACACCCTAAGTGTGAACTGTCAACCCTCACCCTAAACCTCCCCTGTTCAGAGCACCACATGAAGACTTCACTGGGTTTTATAGTGGCCTCTGATGATGGCAGTCCACTGGAGACTGGAGTTTGGAAGCTGCTGTATACTGCCAGTGGCTGTGTGCCCATGTCCTCCCTGAAATACCAGGACTGTTTATGACGAGTATTTTTAATAAAGCTGAATACAGTTTGACTTGGAAAAAAAAGGATACTAAAATAATAATAATAATAATTTAAAAAAGAAGTTAAAATAACGATTAAGGAAATAAAACTCTAGGCACTGAAGTTATACTACTTGTATCTAAGAAACTACTATAAAGTTTCTAAGTGCCTGTATAAAATACTGCCTAGATCTTAAGAAATAAATTTAAAAGTTTATGTGACAATCCAAAATCATCTTTACAAATACTAAAGTCTAAGCATGAAAATCCAAAGTCTTATTTTAGTCAACAGCTTTAATATCTTTAAAAGATTAGACGTGTATAATTTGTTTTGAGACATGGCAGACTCACCTGGAGTTTGTACTACAGCGTGCAAATTCTTTTCTTGAAGTTGTTGAATTCTTTCATTCTTAGCTTTGCTCTCTTTCTCCAAAAGTTTGAGTTTATGAACATATTGGTTGTTTAGAAATTTCAGATCAGCTGTTTCACGTGCACACTTCTTCAACGTAGTTTTCAACTCTTAAAATGAAAAAGATTTAAAAACCATTTTACAGATCAGGAAATCTATCAAATCCTTCCATTTCACAAAATACAAAAGTCACATTAATTTGAAAAGCTCCATCTGATTCTTACCCAAGCCTTTGTCTGAAAGGTTATTACCTCTTCCACCATTATTAACAAAACTACAAGTCAGTCACTAAACAAAAAAGGGAATCATATTTTTCTTCTGCTATATGGCTTAATATAAATTATGGCATTTGCTCCAATCCAGTAAGGTGGGTATGTAGCTGAGGGATTATATATTCATGCCAGGTATCAGACAGGGCTTTCTACTGATAAAAGAAAAATTTATAGTAAGATAGCCACACAATTACCCTCTGTCCGGTACCTTTGAAATCATTCGATTCAATCTTCCAGCTCGAAGACGGGGGTATTAAAGAATCAGAATGATACAAGGCTTTCACCTCATTTTAGTCCTCTTACTTTTAGTAAGGGAAAAATGAAAGTTGTTTCAAGGACATTTCTTTAGTTTCAGCATTTAATATTTCCTAGAGCAATCTTTTTATTAATTAAAAGATTTATTGAGTATAGGTGACACATGTTATATTGATTTCAGGTGTACAACATAGTGATTCAACTTCTCTGTAAGTTATGTTACGCACACCACAAACGTAGTTATCATCTGTCACCATACAACGCTATTACAATATCATTGACTATATTTCCTATGCTGTGCATCTTTCTACAGCAATTTTAATTCTAAAAATTTAATCTACTTATAGTGAGGATGATTATAGCTATGAAATGTAAATTTATTTTCCTTATTGGGAACTCTTCAATGCACTCTACATTATTTCAAGACTGTTAGCAGGAAGACTATCACAATATTATATATAAGCTTTTCCTACAGAAAAAACTTTTTAGGCAAAAAATACAGCATTTTATTTTATTTTATTTTACTTTATTTTTTTTTTTTAAAGATTTTATTTATTTATTTGAGACAGAGAATGAGAGAGACAGAGAGCACATGAGGGGGGGAGGGTCAGAGGGAGAAGCAGGCTCCCTGCTGAGCAGGGAGCCCGATGCGGGACTCGATCCTGGGACTCCAGGATCATGACCTGAGCCGAAGGCAGTCGCTTAACCAACTGAGACACCCAGGCGCCCAAAATACAGCATTTTAAAAAGTCACAATATTTTACCTTTAATGTGTTGACCTGATTGTTCTCTCAGTTTCATTAATTCCAGGTATAATTCATTATTTTCCTTGATCAATCTTGCATTTTCAAGTTTATAAGGTTCCAAAACAAAATCAAAATTGGCACTTTCTTTTTCAGCTTTCACAGTAGATAATTTTGATTTCCGAAGACTTTCTGTTGTATGAACTAGGTCACTGAAATTAAAGAACAGAAAATATAAATACAAGGAAACATTCCATTAACTTTTAATAACTAAAAATATATTTCAAGAAAGACTTAAATGTTAACACTAAGTGAGATCAAATCTAAAAAACAAAAACACTAGGCGTCTTTCAAGGTACCAGGTGCTCAAAAATTTCTCAAAACAAGATTAAAAGTTATGAAACATACACATAGTTAGAATCACCTTTCAATCTCTCCTCTCATTCATCCCCCATGTCCAATTAATCACCTTATCCTGTGGAACCTGTGAAACTTACCTGTACATTCAGCAAAGATTTACTGAATGCCTGCTATATGCTAAATGCTAGCATAGAAGAATAAGAATTGATTCCTTACCTCTAAGAACACAGACCAGTAGAATATTCACTCCCTCAGTATTTACCGAGCAGGGAACACAATATAGAACACAGCATCATAGAGCTTATATCCTACTGACAGTTTGTCAAAAGTTATAATACTGTGTGACAAACTCAGCAACTATGTGTTCAGCCTGTACTAGATAGAGCAGAGATAAAGTCAGTCTCTAGTCTTATGGAGTTTACATTCTAAAGGAAACACAAAAACAAGTTTCCAACAATGATAAGTAGTGAAGGTAACACGTAGCAGATGTGACAATCTTGCAGGCCATAGAGCTAAACAAGCATAGGGCAGGAGGGAGAGGTCAGACAGACTTCCCAGGCAGACAGAATAGCACATGGAGAGACCAAGGGGAGAGACTGGTGGGGAGTGTTTATGTTTAGGGAGCTCCAAATGGTTAAATACATGGGAGATGAAGGTGTCGGGAGTATAAGATCACTGTGGAAAAAGTCTGCCAGTTTCTTAGAAAATTAAACATACTTCACCCACCCTCCAACCTTGAATCACAGAGCTAGAACTAGATCATGAAGGGTTCTGGAGGCCATAATAAAGAGCACCAAATATCTTTCCTCCATTCTCTCCTTACCATCATCATAGCTTGTAGCCCTACTGCAAAAGCTTTCTAAGCAATTTCCCTGCTCCAGTCTCAAGGAAAGAACAAAAAATGGAAAAGAACAAAATCACATAGAATCTTTCAGTTAAAGTAACATGTAACTGCTAAAGTAATGACCAACCACATATGAGAGAACCTTTATCAAATCACAGTAATTAAAGACTAGTGAGGCAGACATAGAATACCCAAGGATATCAGAAAATCACATTAAAAAATTGTAATTCTATTCACGGAGAACTCTCAGAAACATCTACTCTGAACAGTAGAGTATGAAAGGTGACCCCTAGAGTTTTGCAATGTGGAGGCCCTGAACTGATGATCTGGGAGTAGGATCTAAGAATAGATGAGCTTCAGATGACTGAAGGACTTAAAAAAAAAAAACAAAAAACCTACCCATTTCTTTACTGTAACATGAAGTTTAACAGAAACTAGATAAATGGGATTAAGGATCACATGGGTTTAGAACTGTATTTTCATCTTTACCTGAAAAGTTTTTCTACCAATGGTAAACACTCCACTGTCAGAGTCTGGCGGTATCCCAACTGATCCAATCTTTTTCTAATATTAATGTACTTTCTTTCTGCAGCTGCAGTCATCTTGTCTTCCAAAACTAGTTTTATTCACTCCCCAAAATTAAAGTCCTAAAAGAAAAGAGTAAGACATTATTCTGTTATTATGGCTATTATTACTATTTCATGGTCAGAAGAAAAGATTCTTTCAATATGAAGCAACTTTTTTTTGTTTCTCTTCAGGTAGGCAGCCTTCTGGAATATTTAGACTTGACTTAAATGCAATGCTTATGATAGTCATGTTGCTGCATTAATAAACATTAATAAACCTATACGTAGAAGTTAAAAAAAAAAAATGGAGAAAACAAAGAATATTTTCCCAAGCCTGAGGTAGGCAGAGAATCTTTAGAGAAGCCTCTTATTGAAAGACTAAATACAAAAGAAAAACCTGATAAGTTTTTGAACTTCATCAAATTAAAAATGTCTGCTCATCAAAATATTCCATTAAGAAAACAAAAAGATAAAGGAAAGAGTGGGAGAAAATATCTGACAAAGGATTTGTATATGGAATACATAAAGAACACTTACAGTTCAGTAATTACAGTCCGGTAAGAAAATGGGCTAAAGACTTGAACAGGCACCTTGCAAAGATAACTGAACAGGAATAATCATATGAAAAGGTGCTCACCACCATTAGTTATATGGGAAATATGAACTAAAACCACAATGAAGTACAATTTCACTCATACTAGAATGGCTAAAATATCGAAACACAGGACAGATGGAAAAGAGTAAAATCCCTCCAAGAAGAACAAAAAACATCCTCACCTACGGGCTGCTGTCCTCCCCCACCTACATCACCCAAACACTGTGCCTTACTGAAAGTTTCTAGCACAACATAAAAGCTTAGGTTTGGAGGTCCCCCGCGCATACGTGTTTAGAACTACTCACTAGCTTACCTCTGGGAAGGTGGGTGTCTGAAAGCCAGTACATCTTATTTTTACAAAAGGAGCCTGTGTGTATGTATGCACAGGGGCTCAAAACAAAACACCAACCTTAACTTAGGTTAAGTCCTTCCACACTGAACTTAAAACAGTAGTGACTGGAAGGTCAAGGGGATGTTTTCGAAGATGCAGGGCAAAGGTTAACAAATGGCTCCCGTCCTACATTTTCGGGTACTTTGTTTTCACAAAGAGCCTGTAAGATTCTTACACGAGAGAGCACTTTAACTTTTACATCAACCCATCAGTCGGCGGTAGGCGGGTGTGCACACACCGCACAGACTCCCGCAGCGAGCGGCGCGGAAGGAAATAGGGAGGCTCGAGCGGCCCCAGGTCGACCTCCGCGCCGCAGCCTCACTGCCGGGTTTCGAAGGGGAGGGGTGTCGGCCGCGGAGCCGGCGACGAATCTCCGCGCCGCGCCCCGCCCGGCCGGGCCCCACTTCCTCCCCAGCCGCGCGGCCTCCCTCCCGGCAGCACCCGGGCCCGGCCCGCGGGGACCTCCCGGGAGGCTACGGCGAGAGCGCCGCCGCCGCGCCCGGGCCTCCCGCCCCCACAGCGGCACTCACCCCCAGCTCCAGCCGCCGCTTCCTCCGCCTGCGGCCGCATCGCCCCTCGCGCGTCGCCTCCCTCGCTGGCTCCTTCCGCCCCAGACTCCGGCGCCGGCGCTAGGACAGTTTGAAAATGGCGCCGAGAGACGATCCCAGCCGGCGCGGAGTCGGCGCCGCGTCGGCGCCGCGGTTGCCTCGGTAACGGGAGCGGCGCAGGCGATGCGCGGCGCGCGGCGGGGGCGCGCGCGGCGGCGATGGCGGCGCTGGGCCCAAGTGCCCGGAAACGCAACGGCCGGACGGCGCGCGGCCACGGCGCCTCCTGCCGGTCGGCAAACCCCGCACTTCAGCGGATGCCAGAAATGATCCCTCCCCGTTGCGGGATTCGTTGCTTGTCTACCCCGCGCAGGGTTAAAACGCTGTGCAGCCCTTGGTCCCTGCGGCGGATAAGCCTTCACCCGTCAGGTGAACGCCTGCTGACCACGAAAAATCCAACCTAATAATCACGGTGCTTTGCAACTTTCCCTGACAACCGCCCAATAAAATTAACTATTGTTGCCACACCCCTCTCCCTGTAAAGCGGTGTAGACACATTTATTATACTCATCCCATCATGAGTATAATATTAAGTTTTGATCCCATGAATTATGGCTCATCCCATCAAAACGTAGTTAGCGCTGTATGTCTCTCCCTGGCCACCTCACAACTGAATTTTTTGAGTCAGAGATTATTTTACTCAGTTATGTTTCTTTAGCACCTACCACAAAAAACATTTGTGAAGGGAATTCAATTGAAATAAACTGGTTGTGGGGTAGAGAGCTTGCTCACTTAAAGAAACCAGATAGGTCAAATCCTAGAATTCCACGTCTCCTCTGAAGATTTCTGTATAATCAGAGAGGAGCTCAAGTGCTTTCTGTTCACTACTCTCCCGAGTAGGCCTTACAGTCAGAAAAGGTACTTAATCTTTGCATGTCATATAACTGCTCTGTGGGTTGTGAATAACTGTACCCATTCATATATTGACAGACACATACGTTTCCATTATGTCTACTTGGTTTCCCCACATGTCTTAATGAGTTGTTTTATGGAATTTCTAGGAGACAGTGACTTAGGTACTACTGTAAATGGCTTTCATAGTCTTGAACATATATAATAAACACATTTTTTTTTTGCTGAACAAATATCTCTTTTGGAAACAGCGAGGCATAAATAAATTAATAACATAACAAAATAGCTGTGCAACAGCCTCTAGTCCAGAAGACTGGTTGGTTTCCTTTTGTCCCCAAAACACAGTAATTAAAACAAAAATCAAAATCAAATTCAAAAGGTGGGCGAAACACTGATGTTATGGCCGTGTTTTGCCCCAGGGGACATGAAAGACCAGAGTCAGGTTCACTGCTGGACTCCAGGGCCTAAGGTCAGGGTCCCCAGCACACACATACATATCTCTAGGAGGGCTACCATTCAACCCACTACACTCTCTTAGTTCTTGACATTTAGTCTGGGTGAGCAGGAAAACAAACAATCATGACTATGTAATAGAACCACTGTAAAAACCCTAAACAACAGGATCCAGAGAGTTTCCAGGTTGGTGAACACATCAAGGTGCTGGGAGGGTGACATGTCTGGAAAGGGCGTGGAAGCTCCATCCCCCTTCCCCCTTCCTTGCCCTGTGCATCTCTTCTATTTGGCTGTTCCTGAGTTCTATCCTTTATAAGAAGCTGGTAATAGCAAGTAAAGTGCCTTTCTCAGTTCTGTGAGCCATTCTAGTAAATTATCTAACCTGAGAGAGGTCATGGGAACCCCAGTTTATAGTTGGTCCAACAGAAGTATGGGAGGCCCAGGACTTATGACTGGCATCTCAAGTAGGAGCAGTCTTGTATAGTCTTTTTTTTTTTTTTTTTTAAGATTTATTTATTTATTTGAGAGAATGAGAGGGAGAGAGCAGGCGCATGCATGCAAATGGGGAGAGGGGCAGAGGGAGAGAAACTTCAAGCCCCTGCCCCCCTCCAGGGGCTTGATTCCATGACCCATGAGATCATGACCTGAGTGAAAACCAAGAATTGGTTACCCAACCAACTGAGCCACCGAGGCACCCAGTCTTGTAGAGTCTTAACCTGTGGAGTCTGTGGTAACTCTAGGTAGTTAGAGTCTGAACTTAACTGAAGTCTGGACCGCTTGGAAAAGTGATTTTGGAAAAGACACTGTATTTGGTGTCAGGAGGGAAAAACAAAAAAAAACAAAAAATCTCTCATCTGGTGTCAAAAGTGTTGTGAATAAAAATAATTCACCAGGAAACAACTAGGTATGTGCAGATAATGTTTAGGAGAAACTTAACAGAGATAAATTGAGGTTTCTTTTTCAGATTTCTTCTCTGTATCTTCAAAACATATTCTGCATATCTAGATATCATTAACTCTGCTGTTGTCACTGATTATCCCATTTCCCCTGTTAGACCATGAGCTCCTCATACTACACAGAAGACTAATGTGATCTTCTTTGTGCCCATAACCAAGTAGAGTGACTGGCACTTAATAAAAGATGAGGAAGGTTGGACACCTGGGTGGCTCAGTCGGTTGGGTGTCTGCCTTCAGCTCAGGTCATGGTTCCAGGGTCCTGGGATCGGGCTCCCTGCTTGGTGGGAAGCCTGCTTCTCCCTCTCCCTCTGCCTGCTGCTCCCTCTGCCTGTGCTCTTTCTCTCTCTGTCAAACAAACAAATAAATAAATCTTAAAAAAAAAAAAAAAAAAAGATCAGGAAGGTGAATTGAATTGAACAGAACTGAATGAACCAGATCTTCTGACCCCGAGTCCCATACAACACAGTTGCCTCCCTACAGTGACTGGCCCAAAGATGGGGCTAAAATGTCACTATGACCGCTAGCTAATTCAGGTCCTTTTATTTAAGCAGCAGGGACTCAGTTTCCCTATTACCACAGGTATGTGGTTTGGCTGGCAACCTGATTTTTACTGGCAGATAAGGATAATGGTTACAATAGTTCCCGTCTGTCTGGAGCCTTGCAGTGGAGCCTCTGTAGTGACTTGGCTACAAAAGACACTCAAGCTGTGTAAGTGATCAGATGTTATGAGGAGCTATTCTTTAGCAGCAGAGACACTAGGAAATTATTTCCAAGAAAGGGTCACTTTTAAAAGCACAATGCTAAAGCATCTTAATGACATAGCAGCTTCTTTTGTGTCTACAAAGACATCAGAACTTCTCATTGCATAATGCTAGTGCAAGGGATTACACCTTTTAATCACCATTTGGAGTCAGTAAGAATAGAGAGAAGAGTAGGGGCTCTGCATGACTGAAAAGATTGATAAACACTAATATATATTTTAAAAAACTTTTTCTTGCACTTCAAAAGTTCTATGGTCAAAAGACAAAGGATAGCTGGGAAAAACATTTACAACTATTACCATAGACCTTATATATAAAGAGCTCCTATAACTCGACAGTAAAATGACTAACAAATAATAGAATATAGTTGGAAAATAATTTTAAAATGAGCAAAAATATGAACATGTAATTCATCACATGGCTCTTTACCCGTATGAACAGGGACTCAAACTCACTGAAAATAAGAGGCATGTAAATTCAAAGTAGTGGAGGTATGAAGGATGAGTAGGTAGCCAAGTAAAAGGTAGAAAAAGGCAATAAGCAAAGATACGAATAAACTAATATTAGTCATAATGCATCGAGTGCATATTAGGTTATGTTCTAAGTGCTGTGTGTGACTTACAGGTACTAGTTCATTTAATCACTATAGTAACCCTATGACATAGGAGGTATTGGTATCTCCAGTATACTGATGAGATTAACTTACTAGAAGTCACAAAGTAAGTGGTAAGAGTGTTGGCTTCAAGTCTGGAAGTTAAAACAATTCTGTCAAGGAAAGGAAATCTATAGGACAATGGCCAAAAAAGAGAATATTCAGATGATGATCAATTAAATTTTGTGGAGACATAGAGTTGCCAGGGTCCCAAAAGGTTAATTAGACCAGCCTCCCACATAAACACAGATGTCTGTGCAACTTCTCTAACAGATGGTCACCCCAGCTACCCTGTAGCTACTTGCAACAACAAGAGGACTCACTGCTTTTCAAAGCAGCTCATTGCATTGCTGAAAGCTTTGTTAGAAAAATTCTTCTTTATATGAAGCTAAAATCTGCTTCTCCTTGAGTGTGAGCAATTTTTTTCTGAGCAATCAAAAGAACGTGAATTTTCTCCCTCATACATGTGATGACCCTTCAAAATACTCCAGATCCTTCAACCTTTGCTCACATGATATGGTCTCCAAGCCTATAACTTAACTGGCTACCTCGTCTGGAGTAGAAACACTCTAGTTTTTCTGTTTTCTTATTGTAATTTATACCTATAAATTATTGTATCAGATTAAGACTGAGGACTGGGATATATTTGTTTCTGTTGATATATCTGGCACAGCACATTCAATGTATATCAACACAATCTAGTATCACCTTAGCCTTTTTATAACTGAGTCACATATTCAGCAGTAAAGAACCATACATAAGCTTCTTTCTATGGCTGATACATTTTTAATATTTACTTAATTATCTTGAAGACAAATACGAGTTTTTGGAGCAGAGATCAAAGTTATTATTACATCAATAACTATGGGTTCACTTGCCCAACCCCCCAGAGTGATAAGATGAAAGCCAGATGTTACCCAATATGTTCTGGGTTCTATACTGCAGGACAGTAAGCCCCTCTAAATTAAGAATCTGAGAGTTTATATATGAGAGGGACAGCTCTCACCCCTCCCTTCCTGAGAAAGGAAGACAAACGTTTGCTGCCTATGGTATACTCATTTTCCTTAGAAAGAGAAGGGAAAGGTCCTGGGTTCTTACCTTCTGGAATATAAATATGTTAGACCCTTGAACAGCCTGGGAGGTTGGGGTAAAGACCACTGCACAGTTGAAAATCCACATATAACTTTTGACTTCCTTAATACTTACTAATGGCCTACTGTTGACCAGAAGTCTTACCGATGATATAAATTCGATGAACACGTATCTTGCATGTTATATGTATTATATATTGTATTCTTACAAGAAAGTAAGCTAGAGAAAAGAAAATACTATTAAGAAAATCATAAGAGAAAATACATTTACAGTACTGTATTTATTGAAAAATATCTGCATGTAAGTGGACCTGCATAGTTCAAACCTGTATTGTCCGAGGGTCAACTGTAAATGTCTCCAGGGGGAAGACAAGAGAAG